CAAAGAGGATTATTAAAGCCAAGCCTATGCCAAAGAAGCAGAAAGATGCCGCCTCTGCGGCTAGCTCTGATCAACCTGTTGGCATCTATGATACCGTTACCGGAATTGACACTCAGCCGAAATCTCCTTATGGCCATCGTAGGCAAGTTGTTAAGACCAGGGCCCGCCGTGAGATGAACACCCAGGCGAAGGAATTGTCCCGCGATGCGGACGCAGCACAAAAGTTTTTCACAAAATTTAAAAAGGATACTGACGCAATTCAGTGGTTTCCTCGCCCTGCGGGTCCACAATGCTGTAAGAATTTTGCCGACTGTAACTGTGCAGAGGCCATGTTCTGGTGCCACCCTTGTGGCTTTGCCTACTGCTTGGAATGCCGCACCAACGGCTCAGCTTGCAACCAACAGTATTGTTAATTATTCCTCTGAGTTGACAGCTGAATTTTTGCCAGATAGCATCGGCTCATCCAAGTCACCTTTCGATGTCGGAGAACTGGTTGACGCTGTTCTTGCTGAATCTGCATATTTTGGAGCCACTCGCAGAGAGCATGCTCAAAACCGTCAGGATAAATTTCAGGACCTTATCACGCATCTGCGTGAAGGCCGATCCATGGGCAATACCTACCTGCAATCTTTTGCACGGCATGGTATCGAGGATTTCGACTACACTGGTTATATTTATGATATGCCAGTTGGAAGTCGAATCCCCACTCTCCAGGAGCACTACGTCGACGCCCAGGATCAGACGCCACTTCCGATTTGGCGACCTGAGGCCTATTTTAAGTACCCTGACGGTGGTGACCTTAAGGATGAGGAGATTTTCCGTTTATTGGAACTCTTCAGATCGTGCCTTCTCGGAAAAAGAGCAGTCCTCGGTGTTGTCAAGCGCACTAAGGAAAAACATCCACGACTTCCAGAAGGACACCTACCAGCTTGGCATTTTGACTTTGAATCTTGGTCACATCAACCGTATTCCGTATATCGGAGGTTGTTCAAAATTTCCAAAATGGGTTAGAACTGACATTAATTATCGTGCCTTGCCACATTAGTGTTCCGCAATGCGGCCCATATTGTGTGCTTATGCGAAGCTTCCGACGAATACGGAGGAATTGCCGCTCATCGTGAGATTGCCGAAGATTATGGAATGATCGGCATGGTAGTCCACCCGGCAATTCAATCGCAGCCACTTGCAATTTTTCTCCGTGGCTCACATGAGGTAGGCTCGTTTATTGAACTTTTGTCACATCATCAGATTGAGACAGCCAATAAAGAAACCCCTTTTTGGATCTTGCATGGCGCTATTTTTCGCCTTTGCCATGGCATGAATACGTCAGGAGAATTCGTTGACCCTTCTTCTGGCGCTCGTGTTCCGAAACCGGAACATCGAGAAAAATTCCGAATCTACGGTTTATCAACATGATCGCCCGTTAGCAACAACTCTTGATTTTCAAGAGCACTCGATTTGCGAGATTGACGGAGACGATGATCTTGCCGTTTCCGGCGTGGAAGTCACTGAAGTGAATCTTGGTGCTGATACCCACGACGTACGACGTCTTATGAATGATGGGTGAATGCCGCGTTGCGGTTTTTCATATCTCTTCATTTGCTTGGAGTGATGCCTATCAAGAGACCTGCCAGAAATGGCTTAGCTTTCTTGCCAGCTGCGTCGAGCACCAATGCGACTTTTTGTCTGGAGATGGCAATCTTTTCGCACAGCGAAGTTTCAAGTCCGATGACCATTCCGATTACCGGACGTGCATCATGATTGATATCCTTGAACGCTTTCTTCAGCAGATCAACCTTCATCGCAGTCCGATCAACCGTATTACGTATAACGTAGTTTCTTCGACCACTGCCGCTGATTACATGCGAAGCATGCAAGGAGAAAATGCTGATTGTGATTCAATGCTTTTGATTTCTTTATGTTACGGTAAGCAGATCGCTGTCACGGAAGCACGTGCCAAAGAAGATTCCGCCTCTGCGGATGGATTTGCAGGATCAGCTTTTTCAGATGAAGTTATGTTGAACGATGTTGAACAGTTAAAACATTTGTTGCCCTATGATCTTGGTTTGGCAGAGAAGGACTGTGCATGGCACTCACCACTTCTTACATTTGCCCAGTTAAAATCATTGAAAAATATGCGCATCCGAACCAAGGAATCCGAAGATAAAAGACGTGAAAAATGGATCCAGAAAACACAAGGATATACCGAAAAACGAAGAGAAAGGAGAGACAGTGTTCCGCCATTGCGGACTGATTCATACCGGAACGTTGGACAGACTAGATCAAGATCAGTCAGCAGGACCAGGAGCTATCGACCAAAAGCGGATATTCCAAAGCCACCTCCTGCACCTGCAAGAGCACCCGTGACTCCAACAAGAGGTCCAACTGCCGCTTCTAAACCAGTTCAATATAAAGCAGCTCCGGTGTCTCTCAAACAACCATCAGGACCAAAATCCTCATCAAGTGCCAGACCGCCTGTTAAGGCACCACCGGTTCCACCGCCTGGACGATCATCCGGTTCACAACAGCCAAGCACTCCACCCGATCCGCCAGGTCCACCGAAAACTCCACCGCCGTGGAGAAAGAGATCGCAGCAGGCCGAACAGAGACACACAACCAGAAAAAAACCAATCAATGTGCCTGAGCCTCCTGCGCCTCCATCCCGTATGACGGGCACGCAATGGCTTGATCAAGGAACAGCTTCCAGCTCTTCTGGATACCGTAATTACGGTTACACCTATGATCAGCCATCCTATTACAGAGTGAATCCTCGTACATCTAATGTAGAATACGTCCCAGGTTACCAAGTACCTAGGCAGCGTTGGATTCAGAAACACGACGGATCGTGGCTTGACCTAATTCCGCAAACACCGGATCAGTCAATATTCTTTCATCAGACCGCCCCGTGGGGGCTCCCCAAGCTAGGGAATTTTCACTTTTCCCCCCCGTGGGGGCTCCCCAAGCTAGGGAATTTTCACTTTTCCCCCCCGTGGGGGCTCCCCAAGCTAGGGAATTTTCACTTTTCCCCCCCGTGGGGGCTCACCCAAGCTAGGGAATTTTCACTTTTCCCCCCCGTGGGGGCTCCCCAAGCTAGGGAATTTTCACTTTTCCCCCCCGTGGGGGCTTCCCAAGCTAGGGAATTTTCACTTTTCCCCGCCGTGACAGCTTCCCAAGCTATGGAATTTTCACTTTTCCCTCCCTTGGAGGCTCTCCAAGCTGCGGAATTTCAAATAGCTAGACAACGACGCCTAGATAGTCCCCCAAATCCCGTGTTCTTTGAATGTGTTTCCATGTTTTTGCAATGGTTTCCTTCAAAGCACGGTACTTTACACTTTTGTCGCCATAAAACCGGTCGAAAACATCATGTTCGACAATGCTTCCAATTCCCTTATCTCCCCAACCGTTGAAAATACCGCTATTTACAGTGTTTTCTTCAATTTTTCCATGTTCCAATGCCGGTAGCCAACTCCAACATATATATAAGAAATCCTTCCAAAACATTGTTTTTGACAGTGTTTTTCCAATGTTTCCAGTCAAACAGACGGTAATTTACACGTTTTTTGCCATAAAGGCAGTAAATCCTTCCAAAACATTGCTTTTGACAGTGTTTTTGTAATGTTTCCAGTCAAGCATACGGTAATTTACACGTTTTTTGCTATAACGTCAGTCCAAAACACTTGTTTTTGCAGTGTTTTCAATGCTCTGACATCCAAAAACCCTGCAAAATCTTGCTATGTACAATGTTTTCTTCATTTTTGGCCGTTTTTCCATTGCCGGAAAGCTACCAAAATGACTCAAAATTCCATTTCAATACCCTCTTGCGCTCAGACACCCAAAAATCCTCGAAAAATGTCGACAACACCACCGTATTCTGGTCTCGGTGCGAAACCGTTTTTGGCCCCCCCCCCAAGCTAAAGCTGATATAGCGACTGCTATATTAACAAATGTCATTGAGCATTTAGTGTTGCTGTTTTGCCCCCCAATAAGCACGCCTTCACCGCCAAAGCGGTGTGGGCGGATTTTGCACTATGCTGAGTATACAGAGGACGAGAGTTGAAATCCAAAGGGTAATGTTCAAAGGCAGCCATGAAAATTGCAGTTTTTTCGATTTTTTTCTTTTCAGTTATCTCATGTGGGCCAGGTTGGAGGATAACCCGGATTTCCAGTAGCTTTGGTGCCTTGATGCCTAAATCCAAAGATAACGTGGATCTCCGTTGGCACAAGATGCAAATATCTTGAGAAATTACAGTGTTTCACGATGTTTTCAAAAATGCAAATTTGTAGAACTATTTCGCCTGACATTGTGACATGGCGTTGAGACGGGGTGCAAATGATTTACATTTCCTGCTGCATGTCCACTCCCGTGTATTAAATTTGATGTAGTTGTCAATCAGATCATGTGCAAAATGAACAGATGAAGAGTGTACATTCGACGCCGCGTTTTTGGACCCAATTCAGCAAGTAAAACTTTAAAACCTGAAATTCACAGGGATCACGCTGGTCTGAAAATGATTCAACCTGGAAAAATCCAGAACATGTTTGGTTTAGCTTAGCTCGTACCCCGCTCAGTCCTTTTCCACACCTGGGCCATAAGTCAAAGGCATAAGTGGTGGAGTAGGTTGAGAAGAAGTGGGTTTGCTTTTCTTCTTCTTCTCTTTGGCCAACTTGGATGATTTTCCCTGTCCCCTTTTCACCTTTCAAGTTATTTGGGTCATTTTATTGTTTTTATATAACCAACGCATGTTTTTTCTATATATTGTTTTGGTCTGGTTTACAAATTTTATAAATTTGCTATGTTGTGAAATTTGGTTGTGGTTTTCCATTTGCATTTGAAGTATTTGTTCGGCTGTTGGCATGGAGCAGAAAACATGAAAACGTTGATGTTTGTGTTCGCTGTTTGGCGTGAATAATGCAAGTGTCCAATGTAACAGTGCCAAAATATATCAAAATATGAATATTTTGAATATTGCGTGCCTCAACGAGTTTCAGTTCAAAAGAAACCTTGCGTTCATCCAGCAACCATGCAGTCTCTCCTGGGTTTGGTATGCATTCTTGGTGTTTGCGCATCAGAAACAGCAGATGCTGAAACTTCGATCGCAACATTGTTGAGAGGTGGCAAGACTGGCACGACTGGCACGACCCCGGAGCCAATGAATTTCCAAGAGGCGGAAATGATAGAAGGTTTGAAAGAAGACTTGGCTGCAGCTTTGGAAAGATTCTACCAATCCTATTTTGGAGAGTACGGCCCTACGAGGAAATATCTCAATGTGGTGACATCTGCTTCGCCCTTTGTGGTTCAAGCTGCCTCCATGGCCTTCTGGGCCTACGATTTGGAATACTTTGAAAATCGTTGGGGCTCTGACGATTGGGCTGGTGGTTGGAAAGTCGTGCAAAAATATATCAACACCACCAGCAAGTCTATAGCTCCAGGAATGGATGTGGTGGCACTCTTCCGCCGTGGGAATGAATGTGTCCTGTCATTTGCTGGCACCACAGGTTTGGCGGATTGGACCACAAACTTGAACATTAAAAGCCTGCAGAATTTGGAGGAATGCGGACTACGAAATGTCCATGAAGGTTTCTTTGAAGATTTTGTCCAGTTCATGTTGGGTGATGCATGGAGCGATGAGATGGAACCAGAAATCTTGTCGAAATGTGGAGGACGTTTGTCAGTCACCGGCCACTCTCAAGGTGGGACATTGGCAGAGATCTTCGCAACCTGCATCAACCGAGTCGACAACGTGACCTTGCCAGATCTTTGGCGATGGGGGCAACTGGTGCACTCAGGGCGGATGGTGTCAACCCGTGTAACAGTCACAGGAGACATAGTTCAAATTTTGTTCAAATATGTTCAAATGTTTTTTTTTGTGCGGGAAAATCATTCATGTAGGATTGTTTAGGAATGGCATTTGAAGACAGCCATAGAAAAATCGACAGATTGATTCAGATCGATGGGTGGAAAGGTAGAAAGGTAGAAAGGTAGATAGGTAGAAAGGTAGAAAGGTAGAAAGGTAGATAGGTAGAAAGGTAGAAAGGTAGATAGGTAGATAGGTAGAAAGGTACAAAGGTAGATAGGTAGAAAGGTAGAAAGGTAGATAGGTAGATAGGTAGAAAGGTAGACAGGCAGACAGGTAGGCAGATAGACGGATACGTAAGAATACTTCGTTGGTTCACTTTCGTCACTCTGGCTGTTCTGGTTTGTGTCTAATATCGCAGGACTCTACGGTGTTGCTTCACCAGGATGCACGGTTGATTATCAACTTGAGAATGCTTTACCTGGTGGAATTTTCCCTGGAGTGCGGTTCTTCAACATGGATTCGGAAAGCTTTGACCCAGTGCCATGGATAACTGTGGTCTTGAATTTTCAACATGCAAAGTATCAAACCATTCAACTTCCCAATCCCTTCAAGGGTCAAGATTTGGTCAAGCATGAGGGATGGACCTACGATGCCCGATGGCAGCCTTTGACCTCTGCTGTCTTTGGAAAATCCATCTCCCTGGATCATCACCTTGGACCCGAGTACCTGCGAAGGATTTTAGCCTTCACACGAGAAGTGTCAGTAACAATTGTTGCAGGCCAAAATTTCTCGCAGGAGTGCTTGTTGGGCGGAATGAACCCCTACATTGAGGTACAGGTTGGGGAGGAGGAACACTACTTCACAGCAAAAGTGAATGCAGGTTTGCTGGATGCAGCGTATTGGAACGAGTCGTTCGTGCTCACCACATATGAGCCTGGGACTTCCATTCAGCTGTCAGCATGGAATGATTGCACCAAAGACTTTAAGATGGGAAGTGCGGTGTTGCCGAGCGCCGAGTTTGATCCACAAGGTTTCGCTGGATGGCTTTCGTTGGACACGGGAGCTGAGTTGGAGATTTTGGTACAGATTGAGCACTCACAATTTTGATTGGCTGGACAGGCCATAGCTTTTGTTGGAAAGCAGACCACTGACTTTTCCACAATTCATCCAGAAAGTTAGGCTAAAATCCTTGGACTTCCTTTCTGGAATGCATTTCTGTATAGTACAGCAAAGCAAAAATGCTGAATTCTGAGAGTCATTCGAGTCATACCCTCGAAGTGATGACGGTGCTGACAATCTTTTGGCGTTGCTAAGCACGCCGTCGCCGAGCACTCGGCCCCTTCTGCTTTCATGGCTTCTTTGCACGTAGCGTAGCAGCCTTCCCAACTGAGAAATGGATTCATTGCTATGATGACTTGATGACTTGAATGCAATGCTTTTCCCAGGTCCCGCTTATCTTGCTTTGTCTTAGAAGTTTTTGCAGCGTGGTCACATGTTTGTCTGCACTGTAGCGGCGTGGTGTAGATGTTGACAGTTCTAGCATTTCAAGTGGCAGGTTTCAAACAAGTGTGTCGAAATGCGCTTTGCTCGCGGCTTCATGCTCTGGTTCTTGCTACTGAATCGAGAATTCTGTGCCGCCAGGTTCTTTTCCAAACATTTCTAGCGAGTCTATGCAGGTTTTTGATGCAAAATATTGATCAGTGGTCCCCAAGCCCACCAAAAACCAATCAAAACCTTGCTGAAGTGATTCTACACTGGAGCTGTGGCAATGGCAGTTTGTGGCAAGTATCGGAAGGACGGCCTTTTCTGGTGACACAATTTGCTAGGTGTTTCTCTTCTGCCCTGCACTGACATCAACTTTGTTTCTCAAAATCTTGACTGTTTGCTTTACTTGGCTTGTTGGCGTAAAGCTTCACATCTTCATCCACGTAACATTCTGTGCCCCCCTCTTCCCATGCAATATCTGTATACATACATGCGTAACATACGTATGTATGTATACTGTATACACATAAATAATCATAAGCATGTATACATGTTACATCATATTGCACATATCACGACTTTCATCGATTTGTTCTGCTAGCCAGTGTGGGTTGAAAACTTTGGCAGGAACGTACGCACAACACTGGTGCTTCAAACCGAGCAGCTTCGTGGGTCGCGGCCTTTTACAACCAGCACAGTGCAGGTCCTTGGCAGGTCCTTCGTTTTGTTCAACTTATCCAAATGCCATGTAGGAAGCTAATGGAGACGCTCAGGTGTCGAGACCTAGGTTTGATGTTTGGTGCACTGCCAGCTTTGAAGACTTCTTTGATTTTCTTTCAAGGATACTTTCAGCTGCTTGTGTCAATCCATGTAAACACTTGGCAAACCCTGCCTTTTACCATCTTTTACCCACACTTGTTTTGTCACGTTTGTCATTTGCAAGATGAATGTCACCATATGTCACTTTTGGATCTACTTGTGAGGCCCCGCATGAAGGGCCCATTGACTTCGATGCTAACATGCGCTCGACCATGTTTCTGCACTCAGAGCAAAATCATCAGAGCCCAACCCTTTGAAGTTTGAGGGTGGAACTTTTGGTTCTGGTCTTCATCCTGCACTGAATCATGTGATTTCTCGCCCAAGGCCAATCAAGATGCGCTTCAAAATTGACACTCAGGCCTCTGGTACTTCATATCATCTTGGCATTTCAGATCATGTCAGTCTTCCTCAGCACACCGACAAACCACTCAACTTCCTAGCGCTCAACAGCAACAGCAGTAGGAGGTGAACCCTGTCTCTTTCAGAAGGCAGAAGCCAAGGCTTTGAGACATTCGTCAGTGTCAGGTGCCATCGCTTCCTACGGGAACTGGAAATCAGGAGCTGAATTTTTGACTTTCGTAAATTTAGCAGTTTACAGATCTGAAATTTGAAGTCCTTGACCGCGATTGGTTTCAAGACTATAAGCGCCCAGAGCCGTGACATAATTTCAGTGATGAGACGAAGTGGTGAATGTCAGACCCTATCCCCGACCACACCCGAGCCCAGAGCGCTGTAGAGGTCTGGAGCTCTTTTCTATTCCGTACATTTGTTAAACATTGTTATGTAAATAAATATTTCCAATTAATCTACAATGTATTTCACACTATTTGATTTTGACATTCCTTTGTTTGGAAAGACATGACAGGACTTCTCCCCGAAGTTGCCAGGGCACGACTACCGGCAGCCGAGGTTTCGGTGTCCAGGGCGGGTCAGAGAATGTCAAGCTCCAGCCTCCAACGAAGTTTTGATCTGGAGTTTCTATGAGTTTCTGGGTTTGCCTTCCGCACCTCTGTCATGGCATGTACTCGCTTGTGTGTGGGACCCCAAAGTGATCATAGAATGTCCATGAAATTCCTCAGGTCTGACCCGCGTGAAACTGCTCGGATTCGCAAAGAGACAAGAGCCCGAGAGGCATTGCTTTTTTGTGGAAATGAAGTCTCAGCAAAATTTTCTTTGGCGTGCTTCCGACATAATGTACAGATGCAAGATAAGTTTTGGGGGCAGGCGGCAGATGCCCAGGCAGTCAGTGCCTCAATCTGATTCTTGATGCTAAATACCTATATATAGCCTATAGATACAGATCGATAGAGTACATTGGTATGGCCGTTGACAAAAGTGTATGGCTGTTGACAAAAGTGTATGGCTGTTGACAAAAGTGCCTGTCCCTTTTTGAGTGACAATCTAACGTCCAAACCAATCAATGTACTGAGGGGATTTTATCTAATTCTGTGAGCCAAACATTGATTCTGGCAATCTATCTGCTACAGTAACTCTGCAGAAACAACACCTTCCAATATCCATCTGCATTCCGTTGGACGCTGAGACTCTAGATTCAACCATTCCCACGCTGACTAGAAAGGGACTCTCGCAGGACCTACTTGCTTCAGTATGTTTTGTTTGTATCTATCCCGGTCTGTGGAGCGAGTGAAGTGTCGCCTGTTGGAACGCAGGACCTCACCATGTCCCCCACTAGATCAGAGAAGAAGAAGGCCCCAAAGCCTGCACCGTCGGACCCTCAAAGTCTGAAAGTATGGTTTTGACATGTTTTGACGACGTGTTTTGACTATTGCAAAGACAAAGGCGATGGAAGGCAAAATCCTGGTATGAAGCTCCGTGCAAGTCCCAGAAGTCAGTCTAGATGAACCGAGAATAATGAAGTAGCCCTCAAAGGGCTGTGAGGGATTGACATGTGTTGGGAAACTATAGTGCATACTGGTGCAGATGATCAAGATGCAGTCAGATGCAGCGTTGTAGTTTGCGGCAGTGGACTTCCAATTTCAAAATGTATATTCTTCTTGTCTTCTTGTTGTTGTTGGTGGTTGCTGGGAAACTGCTCTGTGAAGGAGCCAGTAGTGGTTCGGAATTGAGGCACTACGTGCAAGCTCCATTGCAGCGAGATGAAGGTTCGAGAAAAGACTACTGGACCCAGGAACAGTATGAGAAGATTAGATACAGCGACCTTGACCTTGATTCACTAAAACAGTGATAAGTAATAGCGCCAATACCGCACCTATTAATCGCTTCAGGACGTCCCAGACAAGCGATGCCCAGCGATACCCATTTGCAAGCATCGGATGTAGCGTATATGTTACTCTACAGCCGCAAGAGGCGAAACTATATATATATAATATATAATATATATATATAATATATATATATATATAATATATATATATAATATATATATATATAATATATGTATGTATACACCCCTAGCGATACCGTAGCGACAACAGATAGACCCAGCGGAACTCTTTTACCACACGTTCCCAGATTCCGTTTCTTTTTTTTTGCGGCCATGCCCCAAAGTGCCAAAGATTGAAAGCAAGAGTTGGCCAGACTTGCGCCAAAGGGGTAAAAACCTTGTCGGAAAAGACTGCGGTGTTTCTGAATCAGTTGCATTTCCACGAGGGGGTATGCGAAGCTTTGATTACAACCCGAATTTCTGTTGGTAGCTGGCCTGGCTTCAACGCTTCATTTTTGATCAATTTTGTGCAGTCTTAGTGAGCGGTAGAGAGCAGGTGAGACTTGGAACTCGATGGAGTCCCACAAGATCCAAGGTGAGATCAAAGGACTGGGTGCTCAGTGAAACTCTGGTCATCAATACCCCAGGCAAACTGGGCATGTTTTGTTTTGCAAGTCCCTGTAAGTTTTACGCAGAAATGGCACAAGATGCTCTTGGACATCTTGCTTAGTCAAACCACACTGCTTGGACAAGAAACACCAGGTAGATATTTTTGTCACAAGGCAAAGACCGCCTCATGAGGACTGTCAGGATCTTGGTTTTGGCTCCTCATGGGACAAGAACTCACAACAGATTGCAGTTACACATGCCGGAAGTAAAGTGCTTGATGATGGATTTCACATTCTGTAACGCTTGCAGATACTCTCAAAATGTCAAGTCTGCAGGTGAGGCGGCCAGAGGATGTTGGCACCCCAGACAGCGAGGCTAAGGGCAGAAATCATCCTCTGTACTTCGTCGGGACCCCCAGAGACTCTCTGTTGATCCTGATGCGAAGAGTGATGCGAAACATGATGCGACATGCAATGAGAGATTGTGTGAGGACAAAGAGGAATACTACCCGGGCCGGAGCTTGATCGATGCTGTTCCTGCCTCAGCCATTCACAGGGTTGCACAAGAGTCGCACAACTTTCACCATGAATCACCAAGGTGAGCGAGGAGCCTGACAACGACTTTCCCGTGCGACCAGTGCCTTGTAGTCGAATCGGCAGCCTAGTGCAATCGTCATTCCACATGAACAAGTTACTCGCATATGCAAAATCATGCAAATATGTTCATATTATGTTCATTTTTACTCATTCATTTTGCCCAAGTGGAATCTGATACAAACCTGCATCGTGATCCAGGCACATTTGCCAGACTTTTACAACCCTCCTCCCTTGGATGCAGATTCCGTCTCGCGTGTGTCAGAAACCTATGGGATCACAATGGATGCAGCCTTGTACAGACTGTTTTTCACTCCCTCACCTCATTCGAGACGTTTTGACACTAAAGACATTGAGGCACCGCATTCGAGAAGTTGTGCGGCAGCGCTATGCTGGCAGGAGCGCGTCTAGTGAGACTTAGGTCACACAGAAGTTGCAAGGGATGTCATGTCAAGGCTTGAGAGCTACTAGCAGCTACATGTTTTTTCATTCTGCATGTCTGAAGGCCACGATTGATGAACGTCTTCCGTGCTTGCTCTATGCAAAAGCCTGGCTATGTGTTCCCACGGGACCGGAAAGTGGATGGTGGAAATCGGAGATCAAGTCCGCACACAGAGTTGTAAGATTTGGTTGGGAGGTCCTGCTTACACGCTTTATTCCCATGTGAAGCTGTGTTCTAGCACACGGAATGTGTTTTGCACAAGATTGCTCCAGGATCTCAAACGAGTATTCGATCAGCACAGCACTCAAGTTTGGCCTGTGGATCATTCAAAGATTGACAATCACTCCGAGCGAGTTCTCGTGAATCTGTATATGTACCGAGAGGGAATTTCATGGAATTTCTGCATAATCATAATCCGAGACTGCCAACAAATTCGCAAGTGACTTTGATTCCACATCTGAGGATGGGGATCAAGGTCAATGATTCCGAGTGTGACATTCTTGTCAAGGTTTGGTACGGGGCTACTGTTACTGTGTAGATATATTCCAAAGATTTGCAACGTCTGTACTTCTGGCTCTGCAAGGAACATTTGTGTGGGGTTATGGCCTCTGATTTCTCACGGCTCAATTTGTCAATAGATCTTAATGGACATGAGCTTTGAAGAAAGCATTGTCCGATGCGCTGTCTTGCAGGCGGTGGACAGAGATCGCAAAGGTGTACCAAACTCAGAGACTTTCAGATCATCTCCGGTGGAAAGTAGTTTGTGCATAGGAGCATATACACACGTATAAACATGTTGAATCTAGGTTGAAGACATCCCTGTCTTGTCGCAAAGACAGCCCTGAAAGAATCCCTCCATCCAGATTCAAGCATAGAATTTTCACAATTTTTCTTCACTCTCAGTCAGTCTATGTCAGTGTGTTTGGCGACGACTGCAAACTGAAGTAACTAGTCATATCTTGCAGTCAATGTCATATCTTGCAAAATTTGGCAATGATTGCCACCTTGTCAAAGTACAAGTCCAAGATGCACAGCAAACATGGCTTTTCACGCCTGAGTTCCAAAGTACCTTGTGCCTGTACGGCCGCGACGTGCGGCACAAATCCCTAAGCTGTGTCAGGGGAAAATGCACATGGATCAATGGTGCTACATGGCATGTATGAGCAGCACAACATACAATGTGACATTGACACTGGTTCAGTGTCGTGTTCTAAAAATGATGCCTTCGGCACAAATGGCAAATGAAGGACCCCACTACTCACAACGTCCCACCAATGCGCTGGGTTCAGATGTTTCGTCAAGATGTCCGCCAGCTGCTTGTCGGTGGGCACCCAGTGAATTGGTGCTTTGCAAGGCTTCTCTGGAGTGATGCTGCCGACGCCATACATCCTCTTCCATTCGTGGTGTGCTTCGATCATGAGGGTCTGGCGTATTGAAGCCAAATCCAGTGCTAAACGACGCTCACTCGGGGGACGCGGTACCCCCTCTCGGTGCAAATGGTCAAAAAGAGACTTGCAATCGGTTAGCAAATGGATTCCAATCGCTGCTCCAGCCTCTGCCTCCTTCACAACGCCACCTTTCAAAAACGAAAGGAGCAAGCTGCGCAAGTAGAGACCAGATTCGAGTGCTTCTCCACATGCCATCGTCTCACCTGCAAATGTTGAACGACACACCCTCGTGCTACCATGGCTGCGCCAATCCAGCAATGTTGCGGGCGCTGCTTCATTGTTCAGGCACCGCCTGTCTGCAACAAAGACAAGGGAAGCCAGTTGGGAAGACATCTTCGTATCTCCCTCCCACTCCACGTCTTCTGCAGTGCGGCCATCGAGCTGCACATTTGCCCACGCCGCATCGTGATACCCAAGGACTGTCATGTGCTCCTCAGGGATCTTGACAATCTTTAGGCCCTTGTCCTTGAACTTCTTGGCCTGCTCCACAATGCGATCACGGCCTTGATGTCCGCCAAGGAGGGCCTGCCCTGGACCCTCTGAGCCTGCGCCACCATGAACTGTAGGTCGGGCCTGGTCTGCTTGGCGAGCCATGACAAGCAGCCCACGACTGACCGATGCTGATCCACAAGGTCCTTACCGACCTCGTCCTCATCCTTGATGTTCGAAGGAATGGAGATCTTGTTCAAGCGCGTCTCCACATAGTTGGTCTGCTTGATCTCAACGCACTCCGATGTGACGTGGTATTCACAGCCCACGTACTCAAAGGAATCGCTCTCCCAATCATCGACTGGGAACTTCTCAGCCACCGCCTTCTGAAACGCGATAAGCAAGTCGTTCTCGGCCATGACCATCAAGTCATCTACATGCGTGAAGATCATGCCAGCCACTCGGCGTGATGCCTGCTCCACCAGACGGAAAGCGCATGGGTCGATCTCGTTCTGCTCGACGATAAAACGTGCTTCTCCAATGACCACCACAATGCTCAAGAGATCTTTGGAAAGTTTCAGCCACCACAATTTAGGAGATGTAGAAAGTCCAAACACCCCCTTGAGGATCTCGATCAGCTGCTCTGGATGTAGTGAGCGGATGCCACGCACAGGTTGCCTAAAGAAAAGACGTCGAGGCGCTTCCACACCATTGAGGAAAGCTGCTCTAATGTCGCCAATGGAGATTTTCCATCCTCGCGACAGAGCCACCACCAAGCCAAGCAAAAGAGAGTGCCTGTTGGAAGTGGGGGCGTCCACTGACATCTCGACCACACCAAGGTCTGGATCCCGTTGCCCACCAACACAAAGACGGGCCTTGGCCTTGCAAGGGATGCCCGGGTCATTCCTCCGTTTTGCTAGATTCTTGTCTCTGTAGAGGAACCTGGACGTCAAAATGCGTTCACGTCCATATCGTTCTTCCACTTGGCGACTTTCCTCCACAGACAGAGGGCGGACAGCCCCAAACTTGATGTGTTCCTCCCACTGCACATCCTCCGCCTGCTTGAAGAGCTCCTTCTCCTCGGGCTGGATGAGGTTCCACGGGATCTCTTTCTCCAGTGCTTTGTCGGTGAGGCCTGGTTTGGCCTGTCGGGCCAGATACTGCGTCTCTGCGCTGGCCTCGTTGGAGGTCTGCACCTTCACGGCCTTGGTCTTAATGGACACGGGGACGTCATCTAAAGAGCTTCTCTTCCTCGTCTCCCTCAGAATGGCCTCTTCCCGCAGCCGAGCATTGGCAACTTGCTCGGGTGGAACGTGTCCAAAACTGTCGAAGACCAAAGGGGCGGGGTTGCCATACCCATCCACCTCCATGTCCTTCTCGTCCTCAGCCTCCATAGCAATGTCTCCAAGTGCCTGCGGCTGCTCAGGCATCTCCTCGTCCACTTCTTGTTCAAAGTCAGCATCAGCGCATTCTTTGAGTTGCAAAAGCGCGGCTTTGATCCGCAATGCTTCGCTAACTTCTTCATGCTCAGCTGGGCGTAGGTGTTCCCCAGCTGCCAAAAGACATCGGCCACCTCTTGCCACCCAATAATTCTGCCCTTCTGGGCCGATGACTGTGCAAGGCCCCAGCCACTTCGAAGCCACACGTTTGCTCTTGCCCTTGCCCTCGCGGAAGACATAGACCATGTCGCCTGGCTTGTATTCTCGAGGGGCTACCCGGCTCTTGTGAGAGACGGCACGTTTCAGGGCCTCGATGTTTTGGATGTGGAAAAACGCCATCTTGGCCCCCAACTTCAAAGTGTGTTTGCGCCCCATCTTCTCATCAGACGTTGCATGTGACATCGATGCCACATCATGAGGGGCATCATCAGGATCAATGCCATACCTCCCTTGCGAGCCAAAAACCCATTGCCTCGGAGAGAAACCTGACCGATTTCTCAAGGTGTTACGGGCCTCACTTATCGCACAGGCTGCTTCATAGAGGTCTGAGTCCAACAGAGTGTGCTCCTCCAGCAATCGATCCCACATCATCTTCCACGCCCCACCGTACCTCTCGGCGATGCCGTTCTGCCAATGGGCTTGACCTGCAGCACAACGCATCGCAATTCCATCAGCGTTGGTGAGGTCCCAAAAGCTATCCCGGAAGCAGGTGTCTAAATCCAAAACCAGCTTCCCGGGGATGCCTGCCCATGCTGCCCAGTACTTGTAGAAGGCATCCGCGACTGTGTCGGCTCTGCGGTTTGGAATGGGCATCACTACCTGATAAGAGGAGGCTATGTCGACCATGTTCAAGGCCAAGTGCCCCTTGCTTTCTGCCGTGTCAAGGAAGATGATATCCAGCGCCACGGCATCGTTAAAGTCCAATAATGCCGTGGGCTTGGCGACTCTCTGTGGAGGGGGCTTGGTGCAACGTGCACATGTCTCGCACTTCATCCCCGCAGCTGCCTCCACCATAGCTTGATTTGCACCACCCAGTCGGAGATGTCGCACCAATTCCCTGTTGGTGGGGTGCCCCAAGTTTTGATGCAACCTCTTCAGGGCGCCAGCTACTCGCCCAGATACAGCACCTTTGAACGTGATGCCCTTGGCCCCAACTTGTTCCACCAACTCCTCTTCGACAGTCTCCACCAGCTCGCCACCTGGCTCATCCGAGCCAGCAGCCTCAGACACCCATGCCGTCTGTGTGGGGAGTTGTTTGACGACACCAGCCACGGCCTCTGCGAAGTCCATCGTGTAGTGGGCCGAATGGCTGGTGTCTCGGCCTTGAACTGGCCGATGGGGGTGCGGTTGTGCGCACCGCTTGCCAAGTCCCTCTTCAAAGCTGGGGTGAGTCGTCATCAGCTTGGTGCCTTTCTTCAGGTACTTGCCCTCCTCCGTCACTGACTTAAGTTCAAACTGGCACATGTCGAGGTTGAAGTTGTTGACGCCCTCATCAGCCATCCACCTTGCTATGGTGGGATTGCGCCAAAGGTCGGAGGTGCTGGGATTTTCCACCACCACGTGGCCTCCATGCTTTCGTTGCGCCACCATCACCTCGTCGATCAACTGAAAAAAGGGTTTGTCTTTTGCCCTCAACCGTCGCCTCTCCTGCTTGGTGTAGTTGAGCCTGGAGAAGGCGCACCAATGTGTGCACGGTGGAGCCATCCACACTACCCGTGGGCGCTCTTCTTCGATCTCTTTCAGCACTGCCTGCCGCACTTCAGGATCGCGTAGATCGTCTCCATAGCGGAGGTCTCGAGGACGAAGCACTGCCATCTTCTTCTTCGCGCAAGCCGCAGAGATTTCGGCCTGCCCGGCAAAGATCTCCAAACAGTCTGCGATGCGGCAGGCTTGATTGCCACAAGTTGAAGTCACCACCTCCTCTGCCATGCTGCCGACCACCGCAGCGCACGTCACCAGCACAGACATGAGCTGCTTGCCCATGTGAGCCACCTTTCTCCTTGTCGACGAATTGATCTTCCGCGTCCGCATGCCCTGCTTGGCCTTCTGCTTCGGAGACAGCCCGGCCGGACTGCGGTCATAGCTCTCGCCCACCTCGGCGTCACCCCGCCGCTCATAGTTCTCATAGTCAATTGCCTGCACCGGCCCGATGCCACAGTCATACATCATCTCGCGCCCGCCATGCAAGAGCCCGATGCCCTCGTTATACTCCGCGGCGCCACCACCACCATGCTCAAGCCCGACCGTCTTGACATACTCAATCTCGTCACCACCACCACCACATGCAAGCCCGATCGTCGTGTTATACTCAGTGCCACCGCCACCAGTGCTGTGCTCAAGCCCGATCGTCTTGTTATACACAAAAGCCTTCCCATCGTCCACCTCCGCATCCGACGAAGATGGAGACCTCGACATAGCACGCCAACCAGCATGGACCGCTCGCTTCACTGCTGCGATCCCAGCGCCCGCCCACCCGGGGGCAGATGGTGTTCCCGGCGAAGAGACGCCGCTCGAGCATCCAGCGTTTCCAGCTCGTCCACCACTTCCACCGGAACTTGCACATCCATGCCGTCCGTGATCTCCACCGTCTCGGCCTCCCGCTTGCCCCTGTTGGGACTTGCCTTCTGCTTGGTCTCCGCCACTTTGCCCACGTTCGAGGCCTTCGGCGCGGAACTGCTGGTCTTCCACGTCATGACGCTGCCCGCACTCTTGACTGAGGCATCCATCTCCGGGACCGGAATCACTGCAGACACCTCCGGGTCCACGGACACCCCCACGGCGTTCTCCGCTTTGGCTTTGCGTGAGGCCAGTTCGCCCCGACTCCAGTTGGCAAAGTGCACCAGCTCGGGGCTGGCCCCCTGATTTGCGTCCACCTCTTGAACCGCCCGCTCCAGGTAGTTCTGTGGAACCTCCTTGAACATCCACGTCTTGTACTTGCCAAACGTCATCAATTGATCCCCGCTCGGCATCTGGTTCTCGCGCAACAAGCGCATCAGCAGGCCGCGGGAGGGTTTGTCCGGCATCCTGATGTTCAGCTCCACTGCTTTGCTCTTCAGCTCTTCGAGTGACATCTTGCTGATGCCCTTCATGGCTGTCACCTCCTGAGAGGAGACTGCACCCTTGTTGTGTTCCACCAAGGTCGCCCGAAGTTCGGGCACAGTCCAGGACGGATGGACTGGGATCTGCCTGTCGTGCAGTTCCTTCAGCAGCTCGGCTCGGTTCATCTTCCATGGCGAAGTCCGAGCGGCAGACATTGACTTGAGCGGTGGGCTGCACGGCACGCTTGGGAAAAACACTGCGGCCGATCCACAATCCACCAACTGCAGCAAAAACTGAAGGACTGTCAGGTCTTTGCCAAAGATCATGTTGAACATGTGCAAGATTTCCTTCGAGATGACATGGGATTGCTTCAGTCGTTCTCCTAAAGTCCAAAGAATCCAAAAGTTGAGATTTGAGCGATGTCAAGCTGGTGTTCCACTTTGAAGGATCAAAACAATCTTTGCGGGGGACCACATGCACTCGTATGAAGAAATTCTCAGTCTCGACCCAAAAATCACGGCTTTGATTTGCCCCACGCCACCAAGTGAAAAACGATGTCTTGGCCAAAACTGCATGTGATAGCATGTTGTGAACTTCAGCTGAAACTTTCTTGGGATAAAATAAAGTTCTATGTGGCTTGACGCAAACACTCGGACCAGCAGCAGTGTATTGCTCGGATGCTTCTCGGTAGATCTGCACATCAGGGTCCTCAGCCCAATTGCAGCCCTCTTCACAGTAAGGCTCAGGATATTCCGAAACCAAAAGTGCCGGGTGCCCTGTCTCTGAAAAACGCAGAGACACCCCTTTCAAATCAAGCCGCTGCAAATCTACCTGATGAGAATCTACTGCATAGACCATGCCAAGTTTGGCCAGCACGGTCCTACTGAAAAGCAAAGGAACTCTACAGCTGACTATGGCGACCTTCACCTTGATGAGCTTGTGACCAATCCCAAAACGAGCCCACACTGCAAAGGTCGAGTCATGAATGCGGGATGCCCCAAACTTGAACTTGTCAGCCTCATTCACTATTTCAATGGGGATCCCCTTGCGCTCGGCCACCTCACAGTAGCTCTCATACCATGCATGCCCTGCCACTGCCTTGGTGCACGCCGTGTCGGCGATGGCCAAGAGCTCACCGCCTGCCACTTCCAAAAGGTGATCACCCCCTCGGCCTCCTTCTCCAGCTTCAACTCCATGTGAGCCTGCAGACATGAAGCACATCTGCACATGATGAACATTCGTGCTCATCTGGGTGTTCTTCACCTGGGGGGCCGAAGAAGATGCCGAAGACGTCGACTGTCTCAAAGGGCACTCCGGGTCTTTATGCCAATGCCCCTTCCTCTTGCATGCCCCGCAATAACTGCGGGCTTTCGCCAGCTTCAACCTCTCCTCGCTTCGTTTCCGAAGCTCATCTCGGTCGACGCCTCTCCCTTTGAGCGCCTCTCTGTACTTCGACTTTGCGTCCTGGTAGGCCATGAATGCATCGTGATAGGTCATGGCCACCTCCTCTGTCACGAGCTCCGCGTCAGACTCATCTTCCGAAGGATGGCCATCATCACTGACCTCGCCACCCTCCGGGATGTCCGTCATGTGCACTGATTGCCGGCCCTGCCAACGTCCTCCAGCTGCACGGGGTCGAGGCTCCCACGCTGTCTTGCGCGATGTCCTGTCATGGATGATGGCCGCCTGCTGCAAGAGCTTGAGGTCATACTTGTTACCAACCGAAGCCAAAATGGCCAGCTCATCGCCTTCGTTGAGCCGCAGCCGATCCAAGTAGAGCCATGCCTTCACCAACTGCGGCAATTCGCAGTTCAGTTCTGTCAAGTGCAACAGCAAGCGCTCGAAGACCACGTTGAAGTCCCTGACCGACTGCTCATGAGAGCGCCGGCATTTCCTGAAGAGCTCTGTCATCACACTCGATACCTTGTTCACCTCCATCTCCATGAACCTGACGCGGACCCAATCCACAAAGTAGTCCATCCCAGTCGGACTGCCAAGGATGTCCACGTCAAGCTCCTCAGCGCACACCCAAGCCTTTCCACCAAGGTGCGTGTAGAGAGCCAAAGCCCTCTCACGCTCCGGCAACTTCGTACATTTGGCCCAGGCTTGGACCTTGCGCAAGTACGACCTGGCCGTCTTGCCAAGCTCTGCCTCCGTGCCCTCGCCATCAAACTCAGGCACCATCATCTTCTCAGTGGGCTTTCCCCAACTGTCACCTCCATGTTGTTGATCTCGGCCCGCATGACTGCCACTGTAACCGCTACCATGCCACCGACCATCATTGGCAAGAGTGGTCTCCTCAACCCTGGCCATGTAGTTTGGTCGCTGCCCCTGGTCGCCCACTACAGCCCAGCCACCATTGGGAGTCCAGCGCCACTCGTACTTCCACCAATCATCATCCCGTGCTCCGGATCTACTGCCTCCCGAGCTATCAGGCGGGGTAAGTCTCTCCCAGCCGCTCCATGGGTCTGATGATTCCTGACCCCCTTGCCCACCAGAACCTCGATCATCACCAGGAGGTAGCGAAGCTTCAGATGCCTCCGCCGCCTCTTCCGGCTCGCCCGATTGTTGAGACGCTCCAGACTCCGTGGGAGTCCTCTGAGGCCGCGAGCGCCGGCTTCTATTGCCCGCGCCACGCCACACCTGCGCCATCCACCTCGGCGTCACCAAAGACGCCTACAGCAACGGTGCCCTTCTCCCTGAAGTAGGGCCGTAGGTCTCTCCAATCGGGATCCCAAAGGTCTCCGCAGAAACGTCCAGCTCCGGTGCCAATGTCAAAGTACAAGTCCAAGATGCACAGCAAACATGGCTTTTCACGCCTGAGTTCCAAAGTACCTTGTGCCTGTACGGCCGCGACGTGCGGCACAAATCCCTAAGCTGTGTCAGGGGAAAATGCACATGGATCAATGGTGCTACATGGCATGTATGAGCAGCACAACATACAATGTGACATTGACACACCTGGAAGCCAGTGGAAGCCAGGCCATCACCTACGAGGAGTTTGCAGACCTCATCTATGGACCGCGGCTTGCAGTGGGAGATTCACCACAGGAGGCTCAGGACTGCAGTGCAGGTGAATGCTAGCGCTGCTAGCACTGCCAGCGCATGCAACGCAGATGCGATCCGTTTGCTGCACTTGGAAGGTCTCTGAAGTGAGCACCAAATTGCCATTGGAGATCCATTAAAAAAGGGGAATTCGGATTGACAAGGTAATATCATGTAACATCATAAGTACCGTAAGTACCATAAGTACCGTAAGTACCATAAGTACCGTAAGTACCATAAGTACCCTAATACCTTGCAATGCAATGAAGCGCAGTCCTGGGCTCCAGATTGGAAAGCCCAATCCAAGTTGTCATGGCGAATAGCGCCGGCGCCAATGGGACAAAGTTTCCGAATCCAGATTCAGTGTCTTGGCAATCCATTTGTGGGAAGATTGATAAAACGCGTTGAGCATTCACTACGCTTCTTGTTGATGACCTGTTTTGTAGAATTTGAGCGTAGTATTTGGTTTGTATCAAAGCCCAAATGGTGAATCATTGGCCAAAAGTGCTTCTATTCTTTTTTTGTCCAGTATCGTAAGATGTGAGACCTTTTGGTGAGCTCAGGTGCACAACGTTGCCGCACTTCGGCAGATGTTTCCATTTCAAGGTGGCTTGGAGAGTACGGCAAGTCGTGCGGCATGTCGCGTGGAAAGTGTGCCAGAAGCCTGGTTCAGGATTGAAACTGGAAGTGGAGCTTAATTGAACAGCTGAACAGGTTATATCGAGCAGCCAAAGCAGCGCAGTGTGACAATCAGGCAGCTACCAGGCTTAAGCTTTAGATTAGAGTGTTTGCGGGCCGGGTCATTGTGGCTTGGAGCAACGTGAAAAGTCTTGATACCAGGTCATGCTGATTAGGCCTGCACACGAGCTTGGTTGACTCATTCCCTTACTGATACCGGGAACTTGGTATTGGCCCAAGGCTGAGAAGGATCATATCTTACGCACAGACGCGTTGCTTCAGTTGGTGGGACTCCTTCCCACGTGATGCATCGTGGACGCACTAAAATGTCCGCTGTGGACTGGGGCCTCCCAATCAAAAGGCCAGCCGCCAAACATCGCCAAACCTTGATTTGTTGATTTTTGTTGATTGTTGACCTATGTCAAAACGAGATTGTTCTGATCCAGCTTGTTTTGGTCTAATGAAGTCTTGCATTGAGGTGTCCAAAACTGCTGGACAGCTTCTCACAGTCGAGCTGCTGAATTTCTATCACTTGAACGCATGGCTTGTACTTGGGCAGCAATGGGGTGTACTCCACTTTATGTATATATATATATGTATTGTATTGTATTGTAATGTATTGTATTGAATTGTATTGTAATGCAATGTAATGTATGTTATCTAATGTAATGTAATGTAATGTTATGCTATGTAATGTAATGTAATGTAATGATGTGTAATGTAATGTAATGTAATGTTATGCTATGTAATGTAATGTAATGTAATGGTATGGAATGGTATGGTATGGATGTATGGATGTATGGATGTACGGATGTATGGATGTATGGATGTATGGATGTATGTGTGTATGTGTGTATGTATGTAATGTAATGTGATGTAATGTGATGTAATGTAATGTGATGTAATGTAATGGAATGTAATGTAATGTATGTAGGTATGTAGGTATGTAGGTATGTAGGTATGTAGGTATGTAGGTATGTAGGTATGTAGGTATGTAGGTATGTAGGTATGTATGTATGTATGTTTGTATGTATGTATGTATGTATTTATGTATTCAATGTATGTATGTATGTATGTAGGTAGGTAGGTATGTATGTATGTATGTATGTATGAAATGGCATGTATGTAATGGCATGTATGTAATGGCATGTATCTAATGGTCTGTATGTTTGTCTGTCTGTCTGTGTCTGTCTGTGTACGTATGTAATGTATGTAATGTATGTAATGTATGTAATGTATGTAATGTATGTAATGTATGTAATGTATGTAATGTATGTAATGTATGTAATGTATGTAATGTATGTAATGTATGTAATGTATGTAATGTATGTAATGTATGTAATGTATGTAATGTATGTAATGTATGTAATGTATGTAATGTATGTAATGTATGTAATGTATGTAATGCATGTAATGTATGCAATGTATGTAATGTATGTAATGTATGTAATGTATGTAATTGTATGTAATGTATGTAATGAGTGTAATGTATGTAATGTATGTAATGTATGTAATGTATGTAATGTATCTATCTATGTACATAATGTAATGTAATGTAATGTAATGTAATGTATGTAATGTATGTAATGTAGTGTAGTGTAGTGTAGTGTGATGTAATTTAATATAATGTGATGTAATGTTGTAATGTGATGTAATGTATGTAATGTATGTAATGTATGCAATGTATGTTATGTACGTTATGTATGTAATGTATGTAATGTAGTGTAGTGTAGTGTAGTGTGATGTAATTTAATATAATGTGATGTAATGTTGTAATGTATGTAATGCATGTAATGTATGTAATGTATGTATATGTAATGTAATGTGATGTAATATATGTAATGTATGTAATGTAGTGTAGTGTAGTGTAATGTAATGTGATGTAATTTAATATAATGTGATGTAATGTTATGTAATGTTATGTAATGTTATGTAATGTTATGTAATGTTATGGAATGTTATGTCATGTTATGTAATGTTATGGAATGTTATGTATGTAATGTAATGTTATTTTATGTCATGTACTGATATGTAATGGTAAGCAATCATATGTAATGGTATGAAATGGTATCAAATGGTATGTAATGGTATGTAATGGTATGTAATGGTATGAAATGGTATGTAATTGTATGTAATGGTATGTAATGGTATGTAATGGTACGTAATGGTATTTAATTGTATGTAATTGTATGTGATTGTATGTAATGGTATGTACTGGTATGTAAGTGTATGTAAGTGTATGCAAGTGTGTATGTAAGTGTATGTAAGTGTATGTAATTGTATGTAATTGTATGTAATTGTACGCAATTGTATGCATGTATGCAGGTATGCATGCAGGTATGCATGCATGCATGCATGCACGTACGTACGTACGTATGTATGTGTTCACGTACAGACAGTATTATCAAATTAACATGACTAGAACACCTTTGATTTGAAATTGAAAGTCTTTTGTTTGGCTTTGGCTAGTGTTATCCTTGTTTACTCTGCAGCTGGTTTTCAGATGCCTCTGCCCGACTGTGCAGGTAAAGCCAGCAACAAAGGACTGTAGCAATGGCATGACTTGGTTTCATGATGTTTTGATGACTGATTGGTTTGGTGCATCGCCAACATGACCGTGGCACTGTTTTGGAGGAGCACCGCTGCTCTTTGGCAGAGCTGCTGAGCCGCGCGGGTGATGCAGCTCCATGGGTGGCAAGCCATGCGTGGGCACAAAGTCACATGGCAAAAGGGAAAAGGTGGACTGGCGAATTTAAGTTGTCAATAATTCTGAGCCGTGTCACAAGGCTCCCAGCCGTGATCATTTAAAGCTGACCTCAAACAGTTGGGATACAAAACAATGACAACTTTGGAATTCGACCACAGCTGGCCGGCAAGTAGACAAAAGGTTTGGCCAAGTGTTCATGAGCATGAAGTCTGTGAACAGGCAATGTCAAAGACTGCGGAAAACTCATGACATGCTCAACTGCTACATACTCAGTCTGTACCCAAAGCCACTTCCCAGAGGTTTCTTGGAGTTCGTGACATCTCTCGAATGCCATGCGGCCATGCGTCTGGCACCGGCGTATTGGATCTGTGCCTTTGCACATCGCCAACACGAAGCCAAAGAAGCAAAGGCCATAGAAACAGGCCCTGAAGCTGACACACACACACACACACAAAGCTTGCTACAATTACAAATCCCTAGATATCGATAATTTTTCCAAGAAAAGTCAAGAAACATATTCAGTGTTGACCGAATGTCAATAGGGAAGCTTCTGAAACGTAACATGAACAACCATGTTTCCTCGCTTTTCTTTTGAAGTTGCTTCTGCCGGGGGAGGGTTTGAAGGGGCTTTGCTTGACTGCTCAAAGAATGTCTGGACCCTCTCGTTTATCCTTGTCTCGATTCTGGTGCTTCCAGACTTCCAGCCTCATATCTTCTCCTTTTTGCTTAGCATGGAGGCCTTGCTGATGCTTTTGGCAGTGCAAGTGGCTTTTTGCTATGCATTGACGCTGCAGCAACGGCCTTCCAGCGGGCATGGTGCATCTTGGAGTGGTGCGCAAGGGACTCTGCTTGCGGGGAAGTGGAGCTTTCTGCAAATGACAGAGTGTAAAACCAATCTATGAATCTATTGATATTTAGCATTCTCTGTTTTGGACACCTGGTCTGCTTTCGCTTCATCGGATTTGTTTGCATTCCAGGGCCGCTTGGCTCTGGCATTTCAATCATCGCGGTAGGCTCCTCGCACTCCAAGCAGACAGCTTGAAGACCGACATTGCAGTGAGCTTTGCTGGTGAGGTGCCGGTAGGGTGAGGTGCTGTGGATTGAGCTCATTCACGAATTTGATATGAGACGAAATCGCATGGACAGGATCGAGGTCCAACTGAGGTGATTTATATTTATGCAATCGAAAACTGTGAAGAACATTAGAACGGCGCGAAGGTTTCTGTCCTGACTGATGGCTTGGCAGAAGCAGCCTGAGGCTTAGATTCTGTCAGGGCAGGTCATGTGCATTTCAACAGGTTCGTTGCTGTCACGTTTGTGATTGTGGTCGGGCACGGTGATGGTGACAGAAGGTGACGGTACTGGTGACCGTGATAGTTGCGGTTGTTGTGGTTGCTGCGTTTGGTGTGTTCGCTGTGTTCGTTGTGTTGGTTGTGGTTGTAGTTAGCTTTTGCAGTTTTTGCAGTTGTTGTGGTGGTTAAGGTGGTTAAGGTGGTTAAGGTGGTTGTGGCTGTGGTTGTGGTTGGGTGGTTGTGGTTGGGTGGTTGTGGTTGGGTGGTTGTGGTTGGGTGGTTGTGGTTGTGGTTTTTGGTTGTGGTTTTGGTTGTGGCTGTGGTTGTTGTTGTCGTTGCTGTTGTTGCTGCTTCTGCTGTTGTTGTGGTTGTTGTTGTTGTTGTGGTTTTTGTGGTTGTTGTGGCTGTTGTGGTTGTTGTGGCTGTTGTTGTTGTTGTTGTTGTGGCTGCTGCGGTTGCTGCGGTTGTTGTGGTTGTTGTGGTTGTTGTGGTTGCTGCGGTTGTTGTGGTTGTTGTGGTTGTTGTGGTTGTTGTGGTTGTTGGGGTCGTTGGGGTCGTTGTGGTCGTTGTGGTCGTTGTGGTCGTTGTGGTTGTTGTGGTTGTTGTGGTTGTTGTGAGTGTTGCGGGTGTTGTGGGTGTTGTGGTTGTTGTTGTTGTTGTTGTGGCTGTTGTGGCTGTTGCGGCTGTTGCGGTTGTTGTGGTTGTTGTGGTTGCTGTGGTTGTTGTGGTTGTGGTCGTTGTGGTCGCTGTGGTTGTTGTGGTCGACGTGGGTGTTGTGGGTGTTGTGGTTGTTGTTGTTGTGGCCGTTGCGGTTGTTGTGGTTGTTGTGGTTGCTGTGGTTGTTGTGGTTGTTGTGGCTGTTGCGGTTGTTGTGGTTGTTGTGGTTGTTGTGGTTGTTGTGGTGTTGTGGTTGTTGTGATTGGTGTTGGTGTTGTTGCTGCTGCTGCCACTTCCGGTGCTGGTGCTGGTGCTGCTCAGGGTCCAGTCAATTTCAAAGTATGTTCTAAGCACCTGAGGACTTGATAGAACACGGACAGGTGATCTCGGAGGAGAAAGCGACTCTTGGAAGTAGTTTTACTACATACCTTTAGGCCTTTGGAGAGGTGTCCTTTCAAGGTGTCCTTTCATTGTCTCTTACTGACTGAAATATTTCTTGAGGGTTGAATGCCTCCAAGGATTCAGAAGATGGACGAGCGAAACAAGGACTTTCCTCTAGAAGTCTTGCAGCTGGGCTTCGACTTGGAGGCAAGTTCTCACAGTGAGTGAGAGCCAACTGGATGTGAGCCCCCTTTAGACTCAGAAAGCTGAAAATCAACTAATCAGATATTACATGTGCAGGAGGCAGAACACTTGGTAACTGTTGCTCCTGATTGCAGTGATTGCAAGTCCTTCCTGTGGCAAAGTGCCAGGCTGCCTCAAGTGTGGCAACTTCTTTGGAAGACCGGAGGCAAAATCTGGGCCAAGAAGTGTATTGTCTTGTTTTTTTTTGTGTTCTGCAAATAGGTTTGAAGTATGTACCTTTGCAGTCATCGAGATTTCAGCTTGTGCAGCATACTGCGTAATTATGCTCAAAGGGAAAGACTCGCAGGTACATCCTTGAACGCTTTGAGCAGATTGGAAGGCTGGGTCGACTCGGGCGCATCAAACCTCATTGAGATTGAGATGAACACGGATGTGGAATGATGATAAATGATGTGGATGTGAACGACAGGTGTGACTCGGAGCTGAAAGCCCGCTTGCTACAGCTCTGCTGGCGCTGCGCCAGCGAGGCGTGCATGATCGCATTGCTACCATTTTGTGAACAGTGTGACGGCTGTGCGAACGTGATAACTTGATACAGAAGTGTTACACTGGAGCTTCTTGCGATTGATAGCACGTGTAGAATCGCTCGGAAAAACATGGACAAACAATACTTTTGTCAGCCAAAAACCATTCGCAGCTGGAGGCGGTGCTGCTGGACTGGCAGCTGCCGGAGCAGTTGGCGAAGCAAAGGAGCTGCGTGCTGCGATTGGACCTGAGGCAGAGAAGCTGGCAGCCGCTGGCAGCGTTCGTTTTTTTTTGTCCTTGTGACGCTTGTGAACTCAATAACCACACGTCCTGACTCCGCTTGAAGGCAGGGTGAGCTTTCAGACCGCACTTTACATCACCTTTTGAAGCTTTGCACCGAAGAGTTGCAACAGGCAGAGTGGCGCTAAATTGCAGTATGTAGTTTCTGTGTAGTTTGGTGCTACATTTGGGAAGAAATTGGCAGATCAATCGAATCATAGTTATGCCACCGAGATTTGAGATTGGCGTAGCGGCGTAGCCAATGCTGGCCTGAGGTGCAGCTGAACCTTTCCCACTGTGAAATCTCAGAGGAAGGTCTGCAGAAACTCATCCAGCAACTGCCAACTGGTCTGGAGAGTCTGCAGCTGGATTTGTCGTGCCCTCAGTGAAGCTTTACCCGGTACACAGCGTCACTGCTGCTCATCATGTGTCATCACGAGTGTAATGGTGCTTTTGATAGTGATGATTATTGCTGCCCTTGTTGATGAGGCGCCACACTGCCTCAACTATCCCGCTTGCTGAACTTCGCGGACAGGCAGCTTGGAGTGTTGTATGGCTCTACCCAAGAAGGCCCACAAACTTAGTGCCAGAAATCATTCACCAGCAAATGCAACTGAGCCCTTTTTGGATATTTCATGTTTTTAGAACAAAATTGATCTGCGTCTCATGTAATGATGGATGTATGCCCTTGGGAAGGTACATCATTCCTACACGGGGATTCATGGGGTATCCACGAATTCCAATCCCTTATGTCAGGTGTGCAAGTGTAGTTGGGATTTCCCATAGTGGTACCTGGGTATCAGCCTTTAAATAATCTAAGAAAGTGCCAGACGCCATACTGCGAGGAGCTGAGACATTTGAGCCTCAGACTTGGCCCGTTGCCAGCATTGTCGTCCTTGCCGGGCAGCTTGCGCTCACTGAGGCTGGAGACAGATTTGACACGATTTGCTCAATAGAAAGTCCAGCATGTAGCGATCTAGCAGAGAGAACGATGTGACCATGGTAAGACCAGATCTATTACGTTGCCATTGAGGCTTTGCTTGGTTGGTGCTTCAGATGGGAGTCTGCAGATGGGAGCAATCCCAGGCGAATCAAACTGTGTTGTAGTATGTCAGCAGCTTGAAGCTTTTTGCAATGATTGTGTTGGCAGTAGATTTCAGGTCAACTTCAGAGCTTAGTTTTGGAACTTGAGAATGCAGAGATTTCTGATGCGGCCTTGGAGACTTTCCTTCATAAACTGCCGATGCTGGAGATGCTCGGCTGAATGTTACAGTACTAGACTTTCGACTCAAAAAGACCTGAAGTCACAAGGTGACCTGCACTTGAGCAGAAACACATGGTATCTTCATGGATCTTTCTAGGTCTTTCTGAGTTCAAGATGTATCATGCCAGATTTGGGCCGATCCACCTTTGGTGCAAAGTTGCGCCGTCCAGGTCCTTGGCCCTTGCTGTGCCATGTGCGAGTGTGGCGCTGTCAATGGCCCCGCAGCGTGCGGTCGGGAAGCTGCGGCTCCGCTTAGGCCATGAAGCAGGCCAGCTACCTCAGATTTTGTGCAAACAGAAGGAAGTGGCAGTTGAAAGGATCCGAAAAAGCGATTCGTCTTGGTACAAGTTCCTGGAGACATGAAGTTTGGTTCTGACTGGCCACTGATCTTTGGGAGGTGGAGCTAGTCATAGTCAAGGTCTCCACACGCTGGCACAAGCTTTGCCAGTGACTTGGTAGCAGGTGGGCGTCACCATTGCAGATTTCCGGAAGGGACAACCCGTCCATTCACACACAAGCAAACCTAGGCAACTCTGCAAGAGCTGCAACTTCATCTTGCGCAGGGCTCAGTACTGAAGCTGCAGCCGGGAGAAGACAGTGATGTATGTTTGCACCTTAGATTTTGCGACTGCGTTCGGAACTGTTTGATCAGATTGTATTTAGCTTTTGTTTTGATCCTTTCTTGACCAAGGACGATGACTCTGTTCCGAAAAGAACCTTGTCTGCATGACAGGCACCCTTACTGGAGGAAGTACTAAAAGGGACATTGCTCTTTGTTTTGATTACCAAGATGAACTGCGGGCAGTCAACGAAGTACCGGGATAAGGCGCAATTGCGATGCTGGCTGCGCACTGTCCACAAAGCTTGACAAGTGTCGACCTCGTGATTGGAGAGCACAGGACTGCTCGAGCACAGCTGTACTGGGGTGTAGTGGGGTGTTTGGAAGCAATCTTTGTAGTCGTAGCAGAGCAGTTCAATCCGAAGAGCGTCAGGATCCAGAGTCCTCATCAGTTAGCGCAGTGGAGCTCATGTGAAGAAGATGAGAACCAAGAGGCAAGATGTCCCTAGCGAGTCAAGTAGATTCTGTGGTGACTGTTTTGTTTCTTCTTGCCAGTGAAACAAACCTGAACGCCCATGCTCTGTGACGGACACATTGGAACAGGCTGTAGAAACATTGATTGCTGAGTGATATCGGAAGATCATTCGAAAAGCGGATGTCTCCTGTAATTAGATTGGATTGGTCAATGCTGGGAAAGATGGAACATGATGGAACTTTTCTTCCAAGCTGGCAGAAGCGAAACGCTTGCCTTCTTGGCCGAGCCCCTGTGAGCCCAATACGGGTTAGTTGTTCGGCTGTACTTCTTGTCAGTGTCCTGCGAGCTCTGCGACCGCTAGCGCAAAGAACCGCTGACACCGTGGAGGGGCAAATGTACACTGGCTTCATTTCCCTCATTCTTGTGAACAAAAAATAAAAAACACTTTAATCACTCAAGAAGTGGGAACTTTGAAAACTAAGCCTTACCACAGTCTTTGTCTCAGTGGTATACTTGGTCAATCCATTCCATTGAGACCAAACATCATTTGTCAAATCCACAACTGGTGATGCAATCCTCTTCCGGCCAGGAGCGACATGTGCGTTTCATCACCAAGAAGCTGGTGGACAACCTGTTGTCAAATGGGCAAGCCTTGGGCAAGGCCTGCATGGGTGAAAACCATTCAAAAGCTGTCACACCTTCTGACCCGGCTACCAGCCATTTCAATGTCCATCCATCACTAAATGAATCTAATATTGGCTGTGCCATGTGAGCTTTGGCTATTGCTGTTCCGGCTCAGCTCTGTTCACCGCGAACTTCAATGGCGCAGGCCTTCTGTGAAATCGACCCGGAGCGACACTATGCGGTGAGCAAAGATCAGTTTGCCAACGCAATCGCCACGGCTTGCAGCGTGGTTGCAGCAACAAAATTGTTGGATTTTATCATTTTATCATCATTGAATCCACTTGAGATGGAAAACACGTGGTTGCGAGGCTTGCAGGCTGATGCTTGGATCATGGTTTAGGCCAACTTCATGATTGATTATATTGTGCGTGCTTGCTTCCTCAGGCAATCACATCTCCCACCAGGCAGAGCCAAGTGCTTTTAGCGTGATTGAATCAAGAGCATTGAAGGCTTTTTGTCTACATTTCCATAGCTGCCCGAGCTTTGAAAGTTTCAGGTTCAGGCCGGAGATTCTCCCATTTGGCTGTGCCAGGCGGTAGAGTTCCTTTGGGCTTCGCAATTCCCGGGTCAGGATCGACACTTCGTTATTTGAGCCGTGCAGCAAGTAGACATAAGTGTGTTGGTTGGACAAGCAAATATAAAGTCTGGCAGAGGTGTGTTTCGGCGCAGGAGAACGAGAGTTTGGATAAGAAGGTCATTGATTGGCGGGACTTCATGCTGCCACCTCAGAGTGCAATTCCTGACAACAACTGAAGAATTGTGAGTTTACATAGAGTCTTTGAGAGGGTGAAAAGGGAGATCCACAAGTTCGATCATCCACAAGTTCACCAAGTTCGCTCAAGTTCACTAGGTTCACTAGCTCATTAGCTCAGGGGCCAGCTAGCTCATTTTGCTCACAACAACCGTGCGCCAACGCCCTGCACAGCCAGCAACCCAGAGAGAGAGAGAGAGAGAGAGATGCAGAGATGCGGTCAAAGCTCGAAGTGATAGCCCATAACTTACGTTTGCTCACCTCCACGTTGAAGCACAAATGCAGCATGGTGACTAGACGCTGGCTGGGGATTTGTTAAAACCAATTTCTTCTGAGGTTCAAGGCCGCAAACGACAGTACGACCTCTTGCAACGAACTGCCCCTTTAACTGGGGGTCGTTTGGAGGCTGGAAGCAGTCGGGCCAACAATATGGATCTTACAGGTTTCAATGAACTAGTCTAGCTGAGTCTAGCTGGAAGCTTTTCAATGTTTCTGTCTCCGTTGTCTTTTGTGCAGGATGCATTGTGGAGTGAAATCTTCAGACAGTCTCTAGCCTGGACCGGTTACAGGACTTGGAGCTCAACCGGCCCGACCAGAATGCAGATGATGAGGCCATGAATCTATGAGCAATCTATGCACAGCTGAAGGAAGGAGTGACATGTTTGGTAGAACCTGCCATGTGGATAGCTGCTTTGTCATGTCGGCATGGCATGGCATGGCTCCGCTTCTAGGTGCAGATTGTGGGTGGCAACTTGTGCCACAGAGCGCTGGAACCTGAGATTTTCATCACTTTGACCCAGGACAAGATTGTAGAAATTTTGGAGAACCTGAAGACAGCATGGGGTGAAACTTGAGCATCGTCTTGGGAACCAACGGGTCATACTGTTGAATTCAGCCTGACTCTCGTCTTATACTTATGGACTGACTTTTTCTTTTGACAAGGACCGATCTTCCCCATCGGCCACGTGATGCTGCGATGCTCACAGAGCATTATGTGGAGGTCCATTATTGCCATCTCCGTTTTCTCCGTGGTGTAATGCCATCCTTCTTTCTTCAAGCTTTTGTTGATCTTCCACCTTGTGCATCTTATGCTGGTCCTGGGTTGCAAGATGATCAGTGAATACCAGTGAAGATAAAGAGGTCGATTATCATCATGATCTACTTATTCTTGTTGCTGGCTTGACTGGTACTGCATGTGGAAGGTCCACAGATGGTCATCATGCGTCCGAAGCATTGTTGCTTTTGCAATTCTCCATGAAAAACGAGCAGGTGGTTTTCTTACATCAGAATTCCAGCTTGATAACAAATGCAACAATGAAAACACAAAAAATGTCACATTGCTTTACATCTTGCTCTACAGCTCATCTTGTACCATTTGGTAGACCTATTCCGCCTACTCCACAGTATTTTATTTTGAACTTTCTGGTGAAGTACGATAGCCCTCTGCTCCAGCGGGACTCGAAGCTGCCAGCGCAATGGGTGTAGCATGTTGCACCATGAAAGAGCAGCTGGAGGTGCTGGGTTCCTTGGTGCAACATGGCAGCCTTATGAATCTTATGAGTTCCTGATGAGTTCCTGATGCATTTGGCATGGCACTTTTGAAACCATTGAGTTGTAGCATGTTGTACCCGATTGTAGCCTTGCCATGCCTTGCTTGGCCTTGCTTAGCCTTGAGTTTGACTTTGTGATGACCATTTTACATCATTTACATTATTGCATTCTTCGACATGTCACGTCTTAATCTTTAAGGTGCGGAGTCTGCAGCAGCCCTGAGTGGCGGCCTGAATGCCATGTCAGTGGGCAGCCAGGAGCCACGTTTGCCGGCAGGTGGGCGCTTCACAGTAAGGAGCCCCAGAAAGGGTTGGAGCCGCGGAGTGCATGCAGAACAATTTGGTCTTGGAAAGCAGTTGGGAGATTCTTTGACTTCTCTCTTCAGAAATGCTCTGCATTTTGAAACTTGAGTACTGTCTGAATATGTCTGAATACATGACCTTCTTTCAATACCCAAAGTGGTATCGTAATCAATAGCTCTCTTGTCCGAGGTGATGATGTTTGGCATGACAGGATCAGGGAAGAGCGCACTCGGCAACCTTCTGGCGGGATATGACCACTTTCAATCTGGCGATGACACAGTGCCTCGGCTGAAACAGTGGAGCTGCAGGCTCTCAAGCTGTGGATGATGGATGGTTCTTTTTAAAAAATCCCAGGTTTCGAACACCTTGCGTTCGCGAGCTTAGCTCTGCTTCTCAGTGAGTTGTCAGGCTTCGGTGACGAACACTCAATCCGTGATGAAGTATGAGGCCCCGGATCGATCGCTGGTTGTGTTGCTTGGCCAACAGAGCGTGTGAAACGTTTCGGATATCCTTCTGCATATTATGTTTATATAATGGTGATAATAATGAAAACACTTGAAAATAATGACAATAACAGTGATAACACTCGTAATAGGTACTAAAAATACTAGTGATACTAATAATATTACATGCAGACCCCGAGGTTTGCCCAAACCCAGAATAGCGTAAATATCAAGGAATTCTGTACGACGCCAAACAACTGGAAGGATTTTATTTCAATTATGTTGCCAGAACATGTTGCTTCTACATATCATATAACCAGAACATGTTGCTTCTATATATCATATGGAATTAACCATACAGTCATGAGGGTTTCTTATAGGGTTTCAAGAAGATATCAAAATTCCCCGCCCCCATGGAACAATTAATCATACAATCATTAGGGTTTCTTTTACGGTTTCAAGAAGATATCAAAATCCCCCAGCCCCATGGAACAATTAACCATACAATCATTAGGGTTTCTTGTAGGGTTTCAAGAAGATATCAAAATCCCGCGGCCCGAAAAGAACAATTAACCTTACAGTTTCTTATAAGTTTCAAACAAATATCAAGATCCTGTGGCCACATGGAACAATTAAACATACAGTCATTAGGGTTTCTTTTAGGATTCCAACACAATATCAAAATCCCCCCGGCCACATGGAACATTTTCCATACAGTCTTTGGGTTTCTTCTTGGGTTTCAAGAAGATATCAACATCATCATCATCATCATCATCATCATCATCATCATCGTCATCATCGTCATCTTGGCTTGCCCAGACGCTCGTTGTGAGTCCGGGCAAACCTCAGGGTCTTGCCGTAATATTAATGATACGAATAACGCGGATGAAATTAATCATGATAACAAAACATGTGAATACTATAACATGGTAATGATGCGGACAAACCCCAAGTCTTGCCCTAATAATACTGATCATAACAATAACAAGACAGTACATGATAAACACTGTTTACTGACAATGAAAACCATCGATTCAATATTATGATACAATCATATACAATATATGAAGTTCTAAATGCAAAAATTTCATCTTTTTGGCACTGTGTGCCAGTTCAGTGATGGAGGGGATGTTGCCTTGAGGCTGGACACCATTGGCCTTGGTGATACAGAGATTGATCAGGAGTTTTTTTCCCCAGCCTTTTCGGTTGTTGCCACCTGCAAGACTTGCGAATGTGAAGTGGCAAGACTTGTGCAGGACAAAGTGGTTGCAAGCATCCGCGATTCCGTTACTTGGAAAACATATTGAAAGCTAGTGTGCTTTGCTTTCTTATGTCTGCAATTATGGATCATTGAATATTTACACTTCCACCCACTGAACATGTCCCGAACATGTCCTTCCATCGACTACGATTAGTACAACCCCATCGACAAAACAAAGTTTCTCTTTTGCCCAGGCCTTATCAGCGCCGAATGGCGTTGATGCTATGCTCTTCGTGATGCGCAGCGGGCGTATCACAGATGACGTAATTGCAAGGCGATGGGCTATCGGGAGTTCAGCATTGAAAAATCGAGCAAGCAAATGTTGTCCTGAGATGTCCTGAGATGTCCTGAGTACTTAGGTGGAAATAGGGCAAGACACAAATGCGTTGTGCTATGATTTGCACAACGTCAAGTTTTGACATTGTCGATGTTGAAGCAACTCTGCAGGTTGATCTATGCCACAGAGTATCTGTGGGGTACTGAATGTTTGCTGAATCTCTACATTGTTGTGACCTATGCCAGCAGGTATGTGTCAGAAACTTAGAGATTTGCTTCAGTTAGCTTGATAAAGGGAACTGACAGGAATGGAAAGCATCATAGAAACATCATTTCTATCATCTCACACGGTTGCCTTGGTCCTTTGTTCAGGACGCAAAAGGATGAGGCGGGGCAGCGGTCACTAGAGATGTATGGAAGGCAAGCTTTCACTTGGACAACGATGCTCAATTTGGTGAACCTTCAAAATCTGCGCAGTAGTTTCAAGTTGTTGCTGGACTTTTGGAAAACTGGCTGTGGTAGATGTACAGTGCATACACAATATGTGCATATACAATCCTACACACTATACTTATACAATACACAGTATACAGACACAACCATGTCCTTGCAGATGCATACATGGATAGGTGGAACTTCGTGTGTGCAAAAACTTAAGCCAGTTTGTGACGAGTCGACGAGTCCTCAAATCAACGCCCTATCCTAGGCCTTGGCATGGATCGAACGCCAGACTGAGATTAACTGGCGCTTTCAACACATCTACTCGCTTGTGTCTTGGCAGCATATGCTTGAAGTTCTTAGATGTAGTGACGGCTATGGCCTTGAAGACTGGTTCTGTGAAATGACTTTGTACTACACCAAGGTTGGCAAAAATGTCAACAGGACAGGCCGCATGCCGCATGCTGAATGTGAAAGTATTTACCGTCTGTCTGGGCACTCCCAACATTACAAATTCTGCTTTTCAGGATACTTTTTGTTGACAATCCAGACCCAGCTGATGGGGAGCCATTGACGAGGCCAACCTTGCTTTCCAAATGTGTGAAAGAACGCTTGAGGTTTCTTGTGTTGGATTTAGGTGCCGATCTCACAGTTGCACTCCGATCCTGAGAGGCTTCGACGCCACAACAGTCGTCAAAACATCATCAAGGCACGCTGCAGGTGATTTGTGGCCTCCTGTCCTTCGCTTTGTCCACCTCTTGAGGTCCAGACTCACCAGACTCATTCTGTGTCGACCAGGCCTTGGTAAGTCATCCTCGCGACGTTATCCCTCCGTTCACCCATGCGATGATGAAGAAGGCCCGAGCCTGAGGGCGGATGCTGGAGGCAGAGCAGTGTACAGCCAGAGGTCGTAACATGTCGTAACCTCTTTCCTCATCCATCAAAGTCACACATACTGTATGTACGTATATGTATATATATATACTGTATATATACTGTATATATACTGTATATATGTATGTCAATGTATGTACACATCTATACAATTCTATACATATATGCACAGGTTATCTTGGAAACCTGGATCGTGGATGGCAGAAATCTCCAAGGCACAGGAGCGAATGGAAGCTACTTTAGCAGAGGTGAAGAATGCCGAGGAGGCCATCACCCAGCTGGAGGTGCCTGAAGTGTTGGATCTGGAGAGATCACCGAAGATCACTGTTTTTCACCGTTTTTCAGCTGTCTTTCATTGTTCTTCAGAAATTTTAATGCACACTTAAGTATGCCAGAGGTTTATTGCTGGCGCGACAGCGATAGTCTTGGGACTTTAAGGTCCAGAAATTGACCCAAAAGGCTGACCTCTCCAGGCCAAGGCCGCAGAGGCTTCCAACAAAGAGGCTATGGAGAAAGAGATGAAGGAGGCTATCGGACGGCTATCGCTACAGAGTGGCCGAGTGCTGTACTTTTTGGATTTCTGTCGAGTTTGCGATAAGAGGCACCTGCTCATACACTTGCCTTAGTCATCCCTCTTTCTCCAGGCGAAGGAGCGCAAAAAGAAGGCAGAAGAAGCTTACAAACAAGAGATGAAGAATATTCAGGACCATTTGATCTGCGCCTTGCCGTTCCAATGGATTATGTACAGCAATTCAACCAGGAGGAGGAGGAGTTCCGTCGCATGGCGGCACAAGCAGTTGAAGAGGCTGGCAAGAATCTGGCAAGGTTGTCAGGATTCCGATGGATTTGGGAGGTGTTTTCAAAGTCTCCACGTTTGATACTTCGTGTGTTGCTTCTCCAGCTTTGGATGAGGCACAAGTCCTACTAGGTTTTCAATTTCAAGAGACTCTTCGGTCTTTTTGAAGCAGTGATTGTATGTGAAAGGAACACCAGGAAAGTTTTGTGACAGCGTGGCAGACGTGGTCCTTGCTAAGATGTTATGGACTACTAGGGGCTGGACATGACTTGTCACAATTGTGCACCATGATTGGATTCTTAGCCTGCCTGTCCTATATAGAGTTTAGAAGCTCGGCTTTTGGTCACATACATCCCCTATAACACAAGGACCATTGACCTCTCGGCTCATCCCTTGGTTGAAGGCTACCGTGGCTTTTGGAAAGAAGTATGAACACGCTGACAGCAAGGTGGGCGTGAGCAGAATTTCGACACAATTCCAGCACACTGCTTCATCAGTTGGCATCACGGCAACGCTGGAGGCCATAGAATCAGTCTCCACAGCTGCAACCTCGCCTGAGGTGCCCGACACTAGCGTGAGCTCTGAATCTTGAGCTGAACACAGGGACAGCAAGGAATATTTCATGCGGTTGCCAGGGTCGAGCTTCAAGCTTCAAGGACGACGGCAAGACCAATCCAATTGAGGCACGTCCAAGAGTACAAGCTGCTGCAAAGTAGCCAGCATGCAACTTGACAGGGATGTGCAGAACGTATGGCTGTCCAGTTTTGAAGGCTTGCAAGAGAGTCTTCCGAGCCTTGCGCCGTCGCTTCGTAAAACCCAAGATAGGACTGGAGCATGGGGATTCATGTCGAACCGCTGATGGAGAGTGCACTCTATCTTCCACAAACCGAGTGCCACACCAGTGCTGCACCTTCTCACATTAGGGTCATGAGGGGATTAGTTCTTCAGGTTGCAGAGTTGAGGCAGTTGAGGAAGTTGAGGCAGCTGAGGGTTTCAGAATCAAAGCGGACTGACGAGTTGCTGATTGAAGGCCCGACTCTCAACACCCCAGCTCCACCGGCACCCCCAACGCCTGCAAAGAGCCCACCTGTGGCTGAGATGCTGAGGCTGGAAGTTGCTAGGTGAAATGGTGATGCCTGTTTCGCATAGTTTGCAAAGAAAGAGTTTGGTACAAACAAGAGCTGAATCCGAATTCTGTCTCAAAGTATTCTAGAGACGGGTATGGGATCAAACTTTGGCAAAAAAGGAAGGCTGAACCACACAATTACCCACGCGTGTTGTCCCCCGAGGTCTCCGCATCCAGCTGACATTGGATGGTTTTTGCAATCGGGTGTGCATGGCTTTGCAATGTGCCAAGCTTTTTCAAGGGAATACGACACTGATTGTCCAAGAAAAATGACAGGCTGACACCGGACCAGATCGAGGCTTCCATCGAACAGGCTTTGATGGGCTTTTCTTCTAGGATCACTTGCATGAAGCTGCAAAACAAGCAGGTCTGGTGAAAAGACCGTGATTGGCATGGGAAATGCTGGCTTTTAGCAGATGGTTGCCACTTTTGACTGCTCCACCATCAACCTGCGATGCGGTCGCAGATCCATGCCCTCTTGATCCACAGCGAGACCCAAAAGCCTGAGCAGCTTTTTGAGAGCCTGGACCAGCAGGTGTTCTTCCGTGTTCTTCCTGTACTTGCTGTGCTTCGGCTGTGCTTCGTGTGCTTTGGGATGTGCTTTGCTTTTTTGATCAAATCTTACAACATCCTTCCTGCCAGGGATTGAAGTTCCTTACACCAGTGCAGTTCCAGATTTGGGTGCGCAAGGCAAGCTTGCTCTCTTGTGGAGCTGCATAGATTCTGCTGGAACAAACGTGCTTTAAAACCATTTCTGAATGAAGATGCGGTTGTTTGGCAGTGGGCGATAGAATTGGACGCCGGAAAAAGAGACCTAACCTACTGGTCAACGATACAAGCCTGGCAATCTTGCACTTAGCCACACATTGTCAACCTGTCAGGCTTGCCCAAGTATCAACCCAACCCAGGCAGGACTTGCACAATAGGCAAATGCAAAAACCAACCGCTCAACAGCAGGAACTATGAACCTGCAGCTGTGGCTGTTGAGGTTGGTGGAATTTGGAGACGCGTGGACACCAACTGTGATGGCAAAGTCTCTCGGGAGGAGACATTCAACTGCAAACAGGGAACCTGTTATTCGTGGTGAGAAGGGTTAGAAACGGGCACCACCAGAGCACATGATTTTAACGACAGGACGAGACCATGCTATAATACAAGTGTGTGAAAAACCGAAATTACTATTAATTACTATCACTCCTTGCTCTTGGAAGTGGCTTTTGTGAAAGGAGTTCTTGCAGTTTATGACTTACAAGACAGCGTGTGATTCTCAGCAATTGCCAGGTGAGAGACTTTCGAAGTTGGAATCTTCAACCTTTGCAGCTTAGGCATCCTGCAGACATGCCCAAAGCCTAGAGCCTCGCCTGGTGCCCCAGAGCTCAGGATGGAAAGCCTCTGGGTTGAAGAGTTGAAGAGGTTGACCAAACACATTTTCACTATGTGATATGTCCGACTTCTGTGCCGCCTTGGAAGAAAACTCTCTTTCACTGAGGTTGAATATCCAAAGTTTTGCAGCCGTGTGTCCGATCTTTTTAAAGCAAATTGGTTCACGATGTGAACATTATATCCGTGTGATTCCGTGACTGTCCTTTCCGAAGGAAAGTATTCGTCCAGAAGTTTCCAGCTGGTTGGCGATGAAAATCTTGCCATGAAATCGCTTAGTGAAGTGAGGGGCCCTTTCACATTGAATATCAGATGGGCGACAGAAACTATATTGGCCATATTCGCTGGAAGCATTCTGATAGCGTTGCTGATGTGGGAGAAGAATAGTTCCACTCAGAACCCGTACCAGTCAGCATGTCTACTCAGTTTATGAAGCAGCACATGTCAGACAATCAATGACGATATAACACATTTTCTCCAACTGCACTTTCGCAGCCCAGATAGCAAGGATTCTCCCTACGAAAGAGATCCAGCACTTGGATCCTATTTGGTTTCAACGCCACTTCATGCCGATTGATGCAGGATGTAAGCCAATGACCTGCAAGAAATTTGGTTTCTTTTCATGGTTTCGCACCTGTCTTGACTTAGAACCAGTTGCTAGCAGGACCCTTGATTAGATGGAACTTATCGCATCAGCAGTATATCTCCAGCTGGTGTCAGATGGTTGCTGACGCGTTTTTGCTTTGGCAGCATCAACATGCGCCAACGTCTACGTCCCAACCACTGACGTTTTTGGGGAAGCCAGAGGACAGAGGTTTCCTGGCTTCGAACTTACTGCAGATGAGACCCGAAGGTTGTGGCCACAAGGCCCAGGACACTTCAGAGGTCCATTTTTTGCACTTGTGCAAGTCAAAAAGTAAAGTGGAGCCATCTTACGCCTGATACGCACCTCTTGACCACAACATTCGTTGGAAGTTGTACTGCTCCGAATCAAATCATGCATTTGTATGCAATGTGTGACCATTTCCCTGGTACTGATGCGACATAGCGGGACACACCATCGGGACATCTTTGTTTGTCATCCGAGTATCTTGCGCTTGCAGGTGCTCCGTGCCAAGGCGCAGCGCACGGAGCGTGCTCTGCAGTGGCCCTGGCTGCTTCTTGTTGACACATGCAATGCAGCTGGAAACGATGCAAAACTATGCGAAAGTGTATATGTGAGTGAGATTCTTATTTGGAAGTTCCATACGTGTTTCTTTGCTTGGAAATTGTGGAGAGCAAGTAATGTGTTGTCAATATAGTTGCCAAAATGGCTCAAGTCCCCCGACCGAAGTGATTGTGTGTCAAAAACCCACCCTCCACACCCTTTTTGACCATGGCAGCGGTTCCTGATGTAGTGGACGCACCGCCGGAAGCAATCCCGGAACAATACAAAACCTTTGTAGGACTCCTTCATCAGCAAGTGCTGACGATTTTCCAAGCCAAGGAGATTCCTACTTCATCATGGCCAAGGGCAGAGGATGGCTATCGCTCAGTCGAGGACTTAGCAGACCGATGGCCGACCATCACAGAGGCCCGCACCAATTCGGCCAGAGACCTCCATTCGGCACACTGACCGGGGAGGAGCCCTCTTGACCCAAGATCGGTCCAACCGCCTGGCAATGAGGATGTGTGACCGCCAGCGGATCTTGCATTCATGGACCTTGGTGGTACAACTCCCAACCCCAGGGCTGGAGGATCAAGGGTTAGACGCCCTCCTCAAGAAGCAGTTCAAACTGTGTGCACAAGGGGGGATTGGACGCAAATACATCATCTTGGCTTTGCCAGAGCAAGATGAACGCCCAATCAAGACAACCACGAAGGTCACGGTTGATGGATGGGAGAAGGAGGAGGAAGAAGAGATGCGCAGATTGCCTACTACCAGGCGACAGCTTGAGCATATGCACCCCAGCTTGCCCAAGCTCAATGCCACCCACCGTGACGTAGAAGACTGGTATCGATGGTTTTGGGGCCGTAACATTGCGGACAGGAGACCACCGCCCAGCGAACAAGTCCTCCTCTATGCAGAGCGGAACCATGGGGGGAGATTCACAAGCTGGTCTATGGGGGCATGGGGCTCAAGGAGGCCATGCTGCAGATAAAGCAGGACACGTCGTTCTGGATGCGGGAAGTCTGTCACTCGGTGGCCCGTCAAAAAGGCAACAAGGGCTCCAACATAGGGGGGTTCACCCTCGAGACCTGCAAAGTCCAAGCGGAAGACACCAAGCTGGTCCCATCACAGCCGAAGTGGCACAAGTCAAAGGGACCACCGAAAGGAGGAAAGGAATGGCCACACAACTGGGCCAAGGTATCCCCAAAGGGTGTCCAATTCTGTCGTTATCATTTTCTCAAGAAGAAATGCCCAGGAAACTGTGGATGTTCCCGCAACTGCCCTGTGCTCAAGAACAGATGGGTATGCAATGCGGCCGAGTGAGCACACTCCAGAACAGTGTCGGGGAGGACAGTCCCGAGGCGGACATGTGGTGGGGGGTGCGCACCCCACATGACCATCATCTGGAACACAGTGACATTCAGACAGACATCATGGGGGATCTTCCCATGAAGACACCGGCCCATCAGGACAGTGTCAAACAGCTTCTCCAACTTTGCCGATGGCTCATCTCGGTTCCCTCCAGGCTCCAGCTTGCTGCTCCTTTATGTGGGACCCCAAGACTCAGGGGCGTTGGACCAGGTCCTGGGACAAGTCCGCCCAGATCTGAAGGACAAGACTATTTGGCCATTGGCATCAAGCGCACAGGTGGGGAGTAGAGACCAGGACATGCTTGATGATGACCTGTACCCCCAACTATGAATAGAGCCATGGCAAGCCGATGGGACTTTATTGGGGGCGGCCCAAACTGTTACACTTGGAGCATATGCAGATGGTCCGAGGAGGAGCTCCCTCCCAGACTTGGGGGCTTGAGACTAACTCATTGGAAGAACAGATCGATACCGATAGGGACAGCCTTTTTGCTGCTCCGACAGATGGTCATCACAGCCCTGGCGCAACGGGCGGTCCATTCATTTCTTGAACATCCAAAGGACCCCAAGGACTGCAGCCAGGCACAGGTGGCTACACAGTGCTCCTCCATCTGGACCGCTGAAGCCTACAAGAAATGGCACTGGCCTTGAACCACCACTGGACCCATTTTGATCAATGTAGGCTAAGCAAGTGGTCCAAAAGAGCACCACGCTGTCTACCACTCTGCCACTCCACCATTGGCAAGGTCTTCCAATGACCGACAATACGGTCCGATGACCTCAGTTGATACCCCGAGGCAATGATGATGGGCCTGGTGCAGGCCATCAGTGCGAGTCCCGGCAAGGGGGGACTGCCCCCAATCGAGGTACAACCACATGAGAGGACTGACAGATCCTCCTCCTCGATACCCCTTTCACAGTCGATGACTATGGCAGATCACCCAATCATCGTCCAACCAGGGTTCAAGACTAGACCGCTGCGAGATGGTGGGGGCAAACCATCTCCTGGACGACGCCCACCGCCGGTGCGTTCCACCTTCAAAGCTGGCGGCCCTTGCAGCGTCATGTGCTCAGGATGTCCAACAATCCATCAAGAGAAGGGACCGGCACCATCCCTTCAAAGAAGACCTCCTGATGCAGACATGGGGGGGCATGCGCAGAGGCAATCAACGTCACCAAGCAGGAGGCGGAAACTGTGGAAGCGGATCAGCCATTCCACTTACTGCTGATATCTGCCTTGGCTGCCCATGCTGAATTTCTCCTACGTCGGTGGCCCTGGGAATGGTAGAAGGCCCTTTTTCATCTGAGATCAACACATGGTTAGGGTTTCAGGTCTACCCCTGTGTACCGATTGTTGACTTTCCCATTGGCAAGAAGAGAATCCTTGGAGCTCTGCTCCAATGCATCATGGATGGCCAACCCTTCTCATCTAAGGACATTGAGAAAGCTCTGAAAAGACTCAGCTGGGCTACATCGGCACGGCCACTTAGCCGCCCGTTTCTCTATACCTCAGGGAGGCCTAGCAAACTTATCTGATCCTTTGCAAAGCTGCTGCTCACTCTGCTTCACCATCCTCAGACTCACCCTTGCCCTTACGACCCCGCATCGAGATGCTAGTGCACATCCGGACGGAGGAGAATCCAACAAAAGAGCACACCTGGTGGTTCCTACCAGGTTCCCCTCAATGACCACCATTGGGCACACAAAGATGGGGATCCCACTCGTCGAATTTCTGCCCTGGAGATGTTCGGCACTCTGATCCTCACTCATTTCCTCTTGGCCAAAGAGGCAAGGCACTCCTTCGCACTCGCTTGAGTCCCATCTCTGACAACAAAATAAACTTTTTTTGCATTACTGAACCAGAAGACCAAACAGATGCCTGCCTCTAACTCTTGGATGCAGCTCATGTGATGCTCCACGCGGCAGGGGTACAGCTGGCTCCTTCACACATGAAGAGAGACTACAGCCAGTGGGCTGATGAGCTTACACGCCCAGGCTTCACTGGGTTCCCAATTTATAAAACCTTTGATGGTCCTTGTAGGAAAACCAACCATCAAGACCGATTTCCAAAAGACGTAAGACCGAACCAAAGGCCACCTAAGGTCCTCTAGAGCCTGGTGGTCGCGGCTGTTTTTGTCTTAACGTGGTGGTGCAAGTCTTTTTGGTGCCCACGGTTTTGGATGTGGTTCCTGGACTGAACCAGCTGATGATGCATGTGGCATCAAACAGAAAACCAGCTGCACAGACCAACTGCATAGCAAAAAGTTAGTGCTGCTGCAGTTGCCTGCTTGGTGAAAGCCATTTTCAATTCTATTCAATCTATTCGGGAAAGCTACATGAGGCCTTGCAATTGAAATTCCTTGAGCTCGAATTTGCTGCCCACCTTCTAGACATGCTAGACCCAAATGGGACAGCGCGCTTCCACTTCCATCTTGGTGTGTGTTGACTTTAAGGCCTGAGCTGATCCGCAAGTCGCGATTGCAAGAGCTCTTGAAAGACAGAGATACCGTACACCAGGCTCCCTCGTGTGTCGTTGCGGCTGGAACATTTTGAGGATGAACATGAACATATTTGACAATGCGATTTCCAAACCTCACGGAAGGTGATTATATAAATGGTATATAAATTGTGGATCCAGAATAGAATTCAAGTCTATCAGCAATTGAAGTCTGTGATGATGTGACAAGCCTTAAGCGAAAGGATGATCTCATCGATATGCTGGTCAACGAGCTTGAAGAACCCAACACACAGGCGTCTCTCCAACGGAAGGACAGCCACTGACTGTGAATGCAGTGTGAAGGGTTCCGTTTCCATATGCAGTTCCGTCAAAACAAACCAATCCTTGAGTGCAGCAGATAGAGTCAACCCCTCCTGCAATCTCCAAGTCATTGTTCCCATGCAGTCATACTATATATATATATCTTTACATGTATATATATAATATATATATACACACATACATGCAGCATGCACAGATATTTGCCAACTCCTTCAGCAAACAAACTGCAACGTGCACCAGCAACGAGGAACCGATCTATGCTCACAGCGCCAAAGGTGCTGATGTCATGACGTTGGACCAACCCATCGAAGGCACGTCCTAGTTTGGTTGAGAGGTTGTTTTTTGATGGTGGAAATTTAAAGGTAAGCGGTATGCGGGGCTATTGCTTTCACACCCAGCGGATTGTAAATCATGAGGAGTTGTCCTGGACTATTGTTCTTGATTTGGATCCAGTGCGCTTTCCGTGCTTTTCACCCAGAATGAGTTCCACAGAGTGGCCATAGAGATGGGATTTCCATGGTAACTTCCCAGGTGCTGCAGAAGCTGAAGTTGATGCAGCACCAGCTCCACCAGCTGCACCGTCTGCAGTGGCACAGGGCTTGGCAGGGCCACCTGCCTCCCTGAAGCTGTTGAGGGGCGACATTGAGGCCCGAAGCAGCAGGGAAACCGATTGGAGAAATTGTGATCCCCACCGTGGCATATATGCTGATTTATATGACTACATTCTATCTGACATCTTACCTGACACATATTTTGACATACAATCTGACATTGTCTCTGACATTCTATCTGACGTTTTACCTGCCATTCTATCTGACATTCTATCCGACATGTATTCTGGCATTCTATTCAACATTTTAACTGATTGTTGATGGGTGTTTCTTACTACACATGACAACCCGGACATAACAGCAATCTGAACCTGCTGAATTGCACGAACCCCAACACATGCTCTGTTTCGAACTTAACCATACATGCAATTTTTTGAGTGGATGGCACGAAAGGCTATGTGCAAGAAAAACATCAAGGATTGCGGATTGTGTATGAGACACGGCGTGAATTTGTGGCGTTTTGAATCACGTGGAGGGATAGCAGAACAGGGCGGTTAAATTACGCTGGGAGCGGGTCAGAACTGGTGCTTCTCTGGTGCTCTTAAGTTGTTCTGAGCGCAGTTGCTCGGGATTGCATATGGAAAACGGATGAAAACGGGCATTCTTGAATTCTTTTTGGCCAGGCCTTTGTGGTCACTCAGAGGCACAACAGAGATCACGAAGTCGATGTCCAGCAGTTCATCGAGAACGTCTACAAGCCTCCGGACCCGAGAAATCATGAGAAATCTACTGGTTATGCGTTGGCAAGTGCTAAATTTGACGGTTGTCCAGTGTATCGTTTGTTCCTCGTTCTTTTTCAATTTGGAGACCCATATCAAACTTCATTGAACAGTCTTATCCCGCCAATTCGAGTACAGTATCTACTCCGCAAAGTGTTTGGAAGAGGGCAAGAGTCATGTTTGTACGAACCTGCCCAGTCCTTACTTGACAGGATGAGAAGAAGGTCATCCACTACGTAAATGATGGATTGAACCGAGTCCTCCGCGGAAACCCACCGCCACGGGAACGACCACCTGATTCTGAGAAACCTCGCTATGAGAACTACTGGCAAGCGAGGTACCTTGACGGCATAGAAGCAATCTCTCCAGCATGACCTCTCAGAACATAAAAGTTATTTTCTTGGCCTCTCAAACATGCATCAACATGCCATACTCTCTCAAGCTTGCCTTTTCAACATGTGGAAACTGAACAGGTATGTCATGGAAGCACTGGCTGATGCCATTGCGCTGGTGGAGAACTCGAATGGCGAGAAGTTAAAACCATCAAAGATGTTCAAGCGATTGGAGTCTTGGCTGCGACTCAAGCTCTTCACTCATGTTTGCAGCATTTACCACTAGGTGTGCTTCTCGGAATTCATATTGCTCACTGAGGACTTTGACAATGATGGCTATTTGAGTCTTTCTGACCTACGAAGTGCATGTGAGAAGTTCAAAATTCCAAACAGCAGTGCCATGGTTCTACAAAGCGGTGGATTTTGCCAGATTTGCCTTGGCTCAGGGCTAGGTTGCTTCTCGAAGTCTACATGGGTGTCGGCTGAAGTTTGCTTTAAAAACATCACCGTCATCACCTACTTTTTGGGAACCAAGCAGGTTTCAAAAAATCCATTGGACACGCCACCGCGTTGCCTGATGTTATTTGTGAGTGCGTAAGGTGCAGATCTTCATGCCCTGTTTAGTCTGTTGGATAAAGATGACCGTGGAGCAGTGGACATTGGTGAGTTCACCCGGAACTACCAGGCCATCTTGAGAGTGGATGGAGAGCTTTAACAGCATGATGTGACATTACATGACATTATGAAACATTTGAGGACATTGAAGACTTATTTTTGTGCAACAGCAGAGGTTTGGTGAATGTGTGACGAACTACTTTAGCCAGCCATGCGATTCCTTTTTTTGTCATTCTCGTTTCAACCGGTGTGAGACTTTGTGAGACAGGTTCACCAGGGCTCCCTGCTGGATTCCATGATGCGCCCAATCAAGTCCGTGCACCCGTCCACATTGGAAGCTGGGGTATTGAGCTGAAGCGAGGGTGAACGAAGTATAGCGAAGATACAAAAGACGTGAGGAGACAAGTCAACCAAAGGCAACTAGCCAGCTGTGAGAGGAATACTCCCAAGTCCGCCAGGTGAAGCATGAAGGTGGCGTAGAATTTGGAGGTCCAATACAGGTGGGAACCAAATGAATCAGAAACTGTGAGACACTTCGAGAAGTGTTTTTCATAACTCCTTTCAGCTCATTCTAAAGTCCAAAGCTTTGTGCGAGGAGAAAATGGATGCGCAGATGCGTGAGCTAGAGGAGCGACATCAGAGCCAGGTAGAAGCAGTTGCCCGGGGGTTCAGTGCAGTTGGGTTCGGGCACTCGCATTTTTGACTTCACAAAACAGGTTCCATTTTGCTTGTGGGGAGCAAAGTTGTAAAGCCTGGTAGTGGCATTGACACTGCAGTGTGAACCCAGCTGCGATCAGTCTCTCAAAAGTTTGTTAGCGAGCTCTTGAGGCTGCCTATGGATAGGATTCTTGACTATCTTCTACTCAGATTCACACCAAACAAAAGTTAGCTTGAACTTACAAATTACCACAATATTGGACGGGTATGGTTTGAAGAATGTTTGAACATGTTTGAACATACCCCAAATGGTTTTGGTATTGCCTTGTCATATTGTTGACCCGGGACCCGCACCAAGCCACGGAGATCTGGTAGGCCTTGCGGTCCAGCTCTGCGCCTCCGAACAGCGGCCTGGAGCCCAGTGGGTTGTGATTGATGTGATATTCGGACATATTTGGAATGAGGCTTGAATGAGGGTTTCATGAACAGATATATGATTGATATATGCATCCATATACATACATACGTACATATGTATGCGCTGTATCCAGGATTTTGGATGATGTGCTGTTGTCAAGCCCAACCCATTCAAGGGTTTTGGAATGGTTTTTGAGATGTTTTGAGCGACTTGATGTCACCTGAGGAGATGATGGCGCTTCTGAACATGGCTCCAGGCGCTCTGTATTGATATTTTGAACAGTAACAATTAGGCTCTTCTTAGGCTCTTAGCACTGATTCTAGATGAAGAATGAGGTGAAACGGTGAAACGTGAACGTCATGAGGAAGCTTCACTTCATTCATTGGCTACTCTAATCGTTTTAAATCTAAAAATGCTGCTGGTCAATATTGACTCTGGACCATTTCAGCCAGGCAAAATCCCATTACCCGTGCTGGTTTGCGACTCATCCAGTGTGTTGGGCAGAACCATCCTGGCCTATCAGTGTGTGAATAACAAGATCCTGCCTTCAATCCTGGTCGGTGCTTGCTGCCCATCCATTCACCGAGGTAGTGATGTTGGGAGCAATCGTTCTCAGATTAGTCGTTGGAAACCAAGTAGAGATTCGATAAATTTTCACAAGTTTCATTCAGTTTCAAAGTCATTTAGCACCCAAAAAGGATGGAACAGTGGAATACTTTCACTGTGCAGAAAAGATTTCTGCCCAAGGTACAGGTGCCTCCATTGCCGGTTCAGCCCCCATCTATGACATTCAGGTGTGGCAGTGTGGCTTCATGTGGCTTCTAAGCCACCCAAGGTGAACAACGCCCCGGGGGAAGATGAAGGAAGTGCTTCAAACATGTGATTTCTGTGTGGCCTCTACAGCCTCTGCACATTCCTGCGAGGTGAATCAGCTCACAGGCAAGGCTCGGATCAGTGATGTGATCCGATCACGCTTCAATGCATGGAAGCCTGACAAGTCCCAAGCCCAGCGCATCCCAGCGCATCCCAGCGAAATTAGAGATGTTCAAGAAACTTCAAGAAATCACGGGCCTCCAGTTGGAACAGAGGAGGGACTTAGGAGGCGCAGAAACGGCCCAAGGATTCCAAGAAATAAAAGAGGCTGAGAAGTCTTTGCCATGAAATACTAGCTGCCTAGCTGTCCGTTTTGTGCGCATGTTGCCGATTTTCGGTCTTACCAGCTGTTCAAAGCTCTTGAACCAAGACAATTTCGATGAAGTTCTGGCACCTGGTCAGAGTACACCATCCAGCCTTCAGAATTTTAGCACGAGAAAACAGTTCTGGGAAAGTCCGACGGTCACTATACTACCTACAATCTAACCTACGGTATCTATGTCACCAGACCTTCCGAGTTAAATTGCTATTTGCTGAGCTCTACTCGATTGACGGCATGCCGTGCAGCTCCGGTGAATTTGATGCGAGATTCGAATGATAGCTGTGCTGCACCCTTTGCTTGCCCTCCTGACGTTGTTCCTTGCGAAGGCAGGACGGTAGTCACACCAGCTCTGGGTGCATGTCCTGTCGCACATTTTGCAAAAGGCGGATGTTGCAGAGTACCTTCAATCCCTGCATGCCAGAGGCTCGCCGGTCTTTTGTGCCACTTTTCAGTTTTTTCAGTTGCTAGTAGTCCTACCAGACCGGCTTTATGGAGAGATTCCTTCAAACTGCCAGTCAAATGTGAAGAGTTTAATATTTTCCTGCCCGGTTCTGTTCGAATTCGCGCGCTGATTTGCGGATCATGGGACTGCTTTGACTCTTCCAGTGTTCGTTTTGCATAGACATAGCTCCAGGCTGTTCAACGCAAGAGGTGCACTGTGAGGGTGAATCGCCCACTGAGCTTCGATTGGATGTTGAGAAGCTTCGCCAGAGGGTTCCTTGCTGCAGTTTTGTGACCAGACATCAGATACGTTGATGATTGTTGATGAATGCTGCCCATTTTCAAGCATATTTTCGGCTTCTTTCGGGTTTGAAGCGGTTTTTCTGTGGAATCCTCCACCTTGTCATTTGTGAGTGAGGATCCCAAGCTTCGAGACGATGCGGTAATCTCCACCCTGGCAGCCTGGCGAAACGTGCCAACTCTGAAGCTGTTGAAGATCAATGGCCTCACAGGTGAGCGCTGGGACCACTGGTGAGAGTCGAAGACTCGAAGATGGCAATGGCATTGCCTGTTAGGAGCCTGTTACGCAAAGAATATTTGATAATTTCATTAGTGCAGCTATCAACCGAACTCAAGTCAAGATTCTGAGTCAACGTTTTCTATGTTTTCTCATCTGCGAAACGTGAGAAAACATTTGATGGGCAACAACGGCAACAACCTACGACAGTTTCTTCCACCGCTCTTCAGGTGCTGGAGATGGTGCAGTGCCCTCTGAGATTTGCAAACTGACTCAACTGAAGAGTCTCGGCATTTCAATTGGACTTTGGCCTCACCTGGACTGGAGGTACTGGAGGTAGGAGCTAAACTTGGTCTCCTTTTCCAGGTGTTCAGCTTATAGACTACAAATAGATTATATATATATAAATCGATACAGATTTAAGGAGAAGCTACTCTTCTTGCCATTCCTCAAAGTTGTTTCGAACTGTTACCCAGCATGGTCCCTTTTGATTCTTTGTCTGAATCCATAACCTGTGCACGTCAGGTTGCTAGTGTTGGTTTTACCATGTTTTACCCAACTCACTTGCTGGACAATCTGCACCATAAACGATAAGTCAGGAAGAACATGAGGTTTTGTAGGTTACTTGATGAACTGTGTGTTTCATTCGGCTAGATGACTGAAGAGGGGCAAATATGTCGATGTGGAAGAAAACATTGCTGCTGAGGTCTTTGCAGTTGAACGGGAACGGATTCAGATCGGTTCCACCCTGCCTTGCACAGCTGAAGATCAAAGAATTATTCTTGGGCAACAACAGGCAGGGCAGGTGTTGGCAGGTGTTTTATGTGTTTGTTGCATATGTCTTTGTGACAAAATGTGCAGACTGCTGACACTGCTGACCCCAATGGCTACTTGAGCCGCAGAGAGGCTTCGTACACTTCCACCAGAACTCGGAAGGATGCATTTGAGGAAATTGGCCTTGGGTTCCAATCACTTTGAAGGCTTCCCGACACTAAGCCGCATGGTCGGTTGGTAGGTTGGAGTATGATTCTGGAGCTTCAAATTGTGGCTATGGGTTGTAGCTCAGCCAAGGATGCCCGTGCTGGATCTCGCCCGTCTAGAGGAGTTCCCGGCCACACTTTCTTGTGCATACATTTATATAGATGATATATTATATATGATTTAATAATGTATGTATATACACATGTGACATATGTATGTATACGATTGTATATGTAACATATACATATTCATAGACAAAATTTTAGTTCGTACATGCTCTACATCAGATACCTGTCAGGTCAGACAAACTGTGGCTACTTGCTATGTCTTGCTATGTTGGTTGTGTAGCTTCACCATCAAAAATCACAAGAACGCTGAGGCAGATCCAAAGATCTGCAAGACGGTCGATGAAGCAATCTAAACCGATCTAAACCAAGGGAGTCATAGAATTCGCAAAGTCGTAGCAGTCGTAGCATAGCTTGGTCTTCTTTGTCATGACAAACCCATGTCTATTCGGTGTACAACTGTATCTATATCAGCCGAGAACCATGAAGATGGACAGCATCACAGGAGCTGATGATGCAGCACAACGAGTTGTCAGAGATTCCCGCTGGTGCCACCCTGTGTTGAACATGCTTGCCTTGGCACCAAAATAGCAACCTTGGCACCGCTCGTCGCATCACTTCTGTGTTTGAAACATGCTTGAGACGTCGCCAGAAAGTGCCGAAAATTGTGTGGAAGGCATCCAACGTTTGAAAAAGTTGAGAAAGCTCAATCTCGTGGCCAACAGGTCCCTGGGATGCATGATTTTCAGGACTTGACAACCGAGAAACATGAACAGAATCTTTCAAGCAATTATTTTGAGATGACAACATGGTGGTCGTTGCACTGTTAAACACTGTTAAGATGATTTCAATGATTTCCTTTTCTTCTCTGGCACGAGGTTAGAATCCTTGCCTGAAGAACTGGGCAAATTGAAGTCTCTGAAGGCCTTGATATGCAAATGTGGGGCACACATGGGCACACAACAATCCCAGATATCACAGGGAACGGAATGATCGAAATGAGACCAAAACGTGATGCGGGAGGTCCTTCTTGTGGATGACAACCGCTTGGAGTCCATACCAAGCAGCTTGAAGCCAATTTGGCTGGAAGGACTGAGATTTGTAAGCGCGCAAACAAAGGATCGATTCTGCACTGCATTCGCCAGGTTTTCAGCAGACTCAGCTCATACGTACTGAGCTCAACATTCATGACCTGCTTGCAGGCGGACTGCAGATCGATGGAAACCCGATGAACCGGCATCGAGAGCTCTAATGAGGGCCTTTCCCTGTTTGCAGTAGCATTGAGTCATAGGAATTATAAGAAGGACGATAGGAAGACCTCATGTGAGGACCTCAAGACGAATTCTTGGAGACTTCTTGGAGTCCGTCCTTCTTTCTGCAACTCACAGACTGTAGCTTTGCAAAAGCGGCGCTGGAAAGCAGTCTCCATTGGACCCAGCAGATGGGTTTCTCATTGCACATGGTACCGTGGTACCACTATGTACCGCTGAGGTCTGAACTCTACACGTCTTTACCAAAGACCCGGTTTGGCATGACTGCGCGAGAGCCAAGATGAGCCAAGCCATGTTGTTCACAACTGTGCTAGGTCTTCTTCCATGTACTCTTTGAAGACTTGAAAGTTTTTGCTTTTCTGGGATGGTACGAGTGGCGCACTCTCAGAATAGGTGTCGTGTGAAACGGGCAGTCAGCTAAGGGCATACACCGGCTAATGTCATTTTGACTCACGGGCCGCAAACCGGCTAGCAAAACCCTCAAGGCAAGACCAGGAAAACGAAAAACTGTCGATTCTGAACGATGCATGTTGCGTAATGCTGAGATCTTCCCAGACACAAGACATGTGGCTGAGCCTAGTGCAGGGTTGCCCAGGCGTTCGTCATCTTTGTCACGTGAGTGTCCAAAGCTGCCTTTATCCATTGATTCAGGTCCTGGTTGTTCCTTGTTTGACCGTTCCTTGAATGCGGCACACTTGCCGGGATTTCCCGTCTTGTTTACCTTCTTGTCTTCCTGCCTTTTTAGGAATGCCACCATGCTATGGTGTCATGATGTCATCCCACTGAGGTGCCGCTGTGCAGTCACAGCATGGGAGATGCCGAGCGCTTCAAGACGACCAACAACATGCACTCGATATTTTCTGTGCCAGACCACCAGTGCCCTCAGGCGGCTGCTAGCATGGGGTCGACTGCCAGACACATGCGGATTTCTCTTGTGATCCAGCCCAATGCCATCCAACGTCCATTTAACCCTCACCAAGATTAGTCAAGGAAGTTAAAGAGCCGGGTATTGCCAGCGCAAGATGTGATTCTTTCAGCATGACCATGACCGCAGTTGGGTTTGGCTTCGTTCCCGATATGCTGTGTGAGGTTGCGGATACAATGCAAAAGCACGCCACGCGTGAGTACAAGGCTGCAGACTGGGCATTGATCCATTCTTACAGTCAAGGATCAAAGTCGTGGGGATTCTTTGCGTTTGCTTCCATGCGTTTGCTTCCATGTATTTGATGGATTGCTGTGACCCTGCTGTGACCCGGTCGTGGCAACTTTTCCGAAAGCGATTTATCCACATTCAAGAAAATGGCTGTGACTTCAGCCCTCGACTGTACAGATTTCTTGGGCTCCTTTCTTGAGTTGGTCAGAAACGCAAGTTGCGTCTGTTGTGCGTGTCACGCAGGTGGAGCGTATCCGAGCTCGGCAGCGTGACTTCTGGGAGCGTAGTTTGGGCCTTGGCAGGTTTCAGCTGTTTCACCCCAGCGGTTTCCAAGTGTGTCACTGTGTGTCACGGTGTGTCACGGTGTGTCAGAATGCATTTCTGGCAATCTTTGGCTGTTGGATTCGCTTTCCGATCAAGCCTGGGCAAGGTTGGGCTGCAAACGAAGCTGCACAGCAATACGATGAGATGAAGGTGGCACGAAAGGCTGGGCTGCGGGGCTGGGCATGGCTGGTTTCAACTATAGTAACTAGATATAACTTTGATGTAGCTAGCTTGAATCAGATCCAATAGTCGCACAGTGTCAAACGATTGCCGGGGCAGCCTCAGGCCATGAACCTCTTGAACTACGAACGGCGGTGCCACATGGCATGTGCATGAGAGCTACAGCAGCTACGGCCACAAAAAATACGTTGGGTTTCCTTCTGGTCCTAAGCACATTAATAGTTGATAACAGTTGCAGAGTCAGCTTTATGCCAATACTCCGGTTCTTAAGAAGTAGTTGGCTGCAAATGCAGCAGCATCTCGCTGTGTTTCACATACTCTGAGGGAAGGTGGGCATGGACGCAGCAGCCAGTTGTATTGGAGCAAGGCAGCGCAGGATGATTGATCTCTTGAGATCATAACCCCTAGGAGCTCTTTTTAAAATTTGCTCTTTTTTTTCCTCTCTCTCTCTCTCTCTCTCTCTCTCGTTTTGCTCGTACATGCCCTCTCTAGTAGTCAAATAGGTAGGACGACAAATGCTGACTCGAAGGCTCAGAATGCCCTGTCCAAATTCCCAGAGCATGGAGACCGTTCATTTTGTGTAGCCTTCAGTTTCACACCCGGCTTGAGTGAAATGCTCCAAGCGGTCACCATACCCAAAGGGACTTGGTGACAAGGTGACACGGGCAGCTATTAGAGAACTTCTGATAGATAATGTATAGGGTTAGGGTTGACCCCATTTGATATCCATACTATTCAGTTCGATTCAGATCTATTCAGATGAGTTCCAATGCAATACAACATCAACAAAGTAGCAAAGATAGGATGAAGTGCTGGACTTTATTAGTCTTTGTTTTAGTCTCTGTTTCAACACATTGCAAATATTTGGAGTAAAAATCCCGAGAAACGAAGTAGGATCAAGAAACGACAACTGCAAGTGTGGGCTCAGAGTCTGCAGATGCGCGGGAGGACAAAGTGATCAGGACGTAGCAGTCAGCTCTAGCTTGGCTTGTGCCATACGTTTTTCAATGTTTGGCGAGGCTTGCCCCCAATCTATGATTTTACGCCAGACTTCGGAAGGGCCGCAAAGGTTTGCTTTGTGGGCATCACATGGCATCACCTGACGTCCCATGGCGTTGTGCCGGTTTGGTCTCCTGTTGGCATTGGCTCAGAGTGGCAAAGAAAGCCTCCCGATTTTGAACGCCATGCCTCCTCGACGGCAAGGGCGTGCGCTTCTTGCGCTAGTGGTGTTGGCCTCAAACGGGCCTTGTAGGAAATCGCAGGCATGGACCATGGGAGACTATGTAGGTAACAGCCTTTTCATGTTTCTTCTGAGATGAATCCTGCTTCCGCTGTTCTTTTTTCTTTTGTCTTGTTAAATTGCCAAGGTCTTCCTGGGAATAGCACTTCAGCTGGCCCTTGCGCCTGCCTTTGTTGCAGGCAGCTAAAGTACCCGACTAGCCAAACACTAGAAAAGTAAAGCACATGTGCCCTAGAGAAGGAATCAACCGTGCAGCATTGTGATTATATAATGTAATTTATGTCATTTATGTCAACTTATGTCCTATCAGATTCGACATGGCTCGACATGGCAGGTCGACCCGCGCTATCTTCTAGCCTGTCTGCCCGGCCAAAGGTGGAGGCGTATCGTTCCTCCAGGAGAAACGTGTACAAGCATTGTCAAGCATTGAGCATCGCATGTGTACAGAAGCTGTAAAGCAGGTCGAAAGACGGTCTGATAGTTTTGAAAGGGCAGCTGATCAGGTGCAGCCTCGGAGTGGCAATATTGGCACTGCCAGAAGTGACAGGCGTGTCTGCCTGGACATACTTGGTCTTCAAATATGAACGACGGGGGGAAGCGTGCAAACTCAATGATGTCTACTAGAGCTTCCTAGTTGCATTGTACATGAAGATCCTGAGGAGGATTCTGACTGAATGAAGTGGATTCGGCTGTACCTCTGATGATAATACAGTGCAAAAATGATGACGGAGTATCAAGCAGTCTGGAGCAACCTGCGAGCTGAACAGACAACTACAATCACCGGGACCGGGACCTTTCAACTGCAGATGGAGGAAGGATATGGAAGGATAGACAAATCCAATCTGCGCAGAAAAACTCCCGCCAGGGCACTGACGGCTAGGCGGCTCTTTGGCCTTGGCACCTCCGAATTACTTGTTGTGCGGGTGCCGAGTGCCAACTGCCCACTCTGGCACTGAAGCCTTGCTTTGAAATGCATGGCTGCATGGCTGATGTAATTTTTGGGTACAGTACACTCCCCACGGAGTCAGGGATACTCTCATTCTATTTCTTTCTCTGGTAGAACTTAGTGAAGACCTGTGCCAATTTGCTAAGATCCTGGGCGCAGCAATCCTCTTCTTCGGGCCAGATGCTTTGAAAAGCGTGGCCAAGGAAGCTGGCAAGGTCGGTCCAAGTCCTCAAGAAAACCATTTGTATCCGATTCGCATCCTGAAAGGTGTTTCAACAGTTGCTCCAACCTTTCAGCCAGGCTGCTGGAGATCTGAAGGAAGTGCCTAAGGCAAGCAGCGCATGTGAAAAAGCGCTGAAAGCTGTTGACAGAGCTGTTGACAGAGTTGACTTTTTCATTTTTCTTTGCAAACAAATGGTAAAATGAATACATTCTGAATACATTCTGAATGATGCTGACTGTAAAGTTTCTGCAAGGCCTTTGAAGAGGGCATGAGCGAAACTGACAAGGCAGCTTCTGGAATCCAATCTTGGTACCAAGACGCGGATTCTAGTTGAAAAGGTCCTTGATTGCATGGTACCGTATTTGCATTCAGTAGCATTGGCCTGCTTCATGCAAACCTTGCTCTGCTCAGACGAAGACCGTGGAGGAGTGATCGTGGTTGTTTCATGTTGTTTCTTCCTGCCAAGGCGAAAGGCAGCACCTAGAGCCTTTCATGTAGACTGTCACTTTTCTCTGGTCGCTCGTCTTCAGCGTCTCGTTTAATCCTTGGATGTCGCATTCTATATAATCCGTTTCAAAAATCTCAAAACCTGAGACCTAAGACCTGATGCAGTGAAACATATTTTGTTTGCACGCCTGTCAACAGTCCCCTGTCACAACCTTCAAGGCTTCTTCTTTCGTGTCCTTTTGTGATACTATCGCCTGTTTTTGTATTGCCGATTGTCGGGCATGCCTCCCAGAGTCAAAGCAGCTCTGGCTAATCTTCTAATCCTGGAGCTTCACAAACAATTCTCACAGATCGCTGCAACTGCCCTGCCACACCTTTGATCTTGGTGGTTTTCTTAAAGCAGATCCTGCTATGTGATCACAAAATATTACAAGGAAGTTTTTTCATGCAGCGCAGCTTGCGAGGAGCCAAAGAAAGAAGCGAAGGAGGCTGAGGCTACTGAGGCCAAAGAGGAGAAGCCAAAAGAAGAGAAGAAATGTGTGAAACCCAGAAACGACATCAACAGATCAGAAAAACACATGAAAAATGCACAGATTGCAGTGTTTGCAGTGTTTGCTTGCTACTGGTTTCCCATTTTATGGTTATGTTATGTTAGTTATGTTGTTAAATGGTTTCTCGATGGTTTGGCATGTCTAGAACAGTCAAGAAACCGTGGCGAGGAACAGAGCCGAACAAGGTTCGAGGCTTGGCAATTTGGAACTTTTTGAACTCTGTAGAAGCAGACTTTGGTTGCTTGGGTGATCTTGGGCGTCGCAGTTTTATTGCTGATCTTTTCTGCTTGTACCTGAGGTTCTTTCCTCTCGCTGACGCTTTAAACAGCTTGGAAGGCACAGCTAGAATCAAACGCAGATCGCATGTGCTTTTGGCATTGGAAGGTTTTCCGAACAATTTGCATTGCTTTTTTTGTTATGTGGAAAGACTGCATGTAAACCTTGCAGGCGCAGGAGCTCTAACTGAAAATTGCAACCGGAGAAAAAAGCTGCTTTTACCGACGAGAAACTGATTCGAAAGACAAGCTCAAGTTCCAATCCTTCAATGAAACTTTTCCCAGCTGTAAGAGCCTATACACTGTATATTTGATGCAAACACCGGAAGACATTCTTTGTCCGTGATGCGTCACCCAGTGGAAACAGTGCAGTTGTACAGTGGCTCCTGCAATTATCGAGCACTCTGATCTTGACAAGAGCAAACTTCATTGCGAAGCTTGGTTTTGAGCTTGGATTGTGCCACACTTGCAAATACTTTGCTGGAATATATAATGATAATGCCTAAGCAAAGGCTTTGCAGAGCAACTTGAGTACCAAAGGCCAAGCTATTGTCCCAACTTTGTAGGGCATGCCTTGAACCACAATGTATTTGCATCCAACCTTGCTCCCAGCTTCAAGATAAAGATCATTATGACTGTACTCCTGGATGGCGGCGGCCATGTTGACATCCTCATTCAAGGACCTGTTTCGAAGTTTGGTCAGTACACCGGTGGGTTGCGCTGCACTTTTGCGTGAATCCCCGCCACCAATGTTGAGCCTGAAAATTTGAAGGAGTGGATCTTGCAGCATCCTTCATCAATCAGCATCATCAGCGAGGAAGAGTGGTGCTGCACAAGCTTGGTGTTACAAACGATGTCCCAACAGCAATTCAGCGTTGACTGTTGATGATGGATCGCGTACATACCGATACTTGCATCTAGCTTACATAAGACAAGACACATGTAGCTTATGAGCAAGGAAGTTCGGGAAGAAACTTCCGAGTTACAAGTAGAGCCGGGCAAGCCGCTTACGGAAGTTTCGAGAGAGGGAGAACCTATAAAGACAGGAGAGAGCCTATAGGAACAGCGCCTGACCCCCTGGCTGGCACAGCCGTTGACTGCGTGATCTCTTGGAAGTCTTTGTCCTTGATATTTCTTGCTCTCCACATCTTTGTCTGATGCTGCCACTTTCTCTTGATCTGGCTTGCTCCTGACATTTCTGAATCTTGACAGCCCTTCTTGTCGACAGCTCTGGAGCCAGAGACTTGACACACTCTTCTCTCCTGACAAGCTTTTTTCTGATGTCATGGCTGTCTTTTGAAACCGAGGTCGTTTCAGCCGCTTTCCGTTGACGTCTCTTTCTCTTGCCATCCTTCTCTTCGGGCATCTCTTTTTCTTGAGACCTGCTTCTCTTGACATTCTCTTCTCTCCACATCTCATTCTCTTGACACAGTTTTCGGTTGGCACCATTTTCTTGTTTCCTGTTGTTTCACAGTTTTATTTTGAGACCTCTTTCTGTTGAAATTGTTTCCTTTGACACCTTCTGTCTTGACATCTCCTTTGTCTTGAGGCAATTTTTCATTCTCACATCTCTTTCTTTTGGCATCTTCATACCTTGCGAACAAAAATCATCCTGTGTACTACAAGACTTGCACAAAGCCCCTCCTGTACCACAAAATACCTGCCCAAAGTATTTCCCAGTACTACCTTCGTACTACAAAGCTTCACCAAAGACTTCCCAGTACTACTTTGTACTACAAAGCTTGCACAAAGTACTTTCCAGTACTACTTCGTACTACAAAGCTTGCACAAAGTACTTCCAAGTACTACTTCGTACTATAAAGCTTGCACAAAGGACTTTCCAGTACTACTTCGTACTACAAAGCTTGCACAAAGACTTCCAAGTACTACTTCGTACTACAAAGCTTGCACAAAGTACTTCCCAGTACTACTTCGTACTACAATAGCTTGCACAAAGTACTTCCAAGTACTACTTCGTACTACAAAGCTTGCACAAAGTACTTCCCAGTACTACTTCGTACTACAATAGCTTGCACAAAGTACTTCCAAGTACTACTTCGTACTACAAAGCTTGCACAAAGTACTTCCCAGTACTACTTCGTACTACAATAGCTTGCACAAAGTACTTCCAAGTACTACTTCGTACTACAAAGCTTGCACAAAGTACTTCCCAGTACTACTTCGTACTACAATAGCTTGCACAAAGTACTTCCAAGTACTACTTCGTACTACAAAGCTTGCACAAAGTACTTCCCAGTACTACTTGGTACTACAACTAGCTTGCACAAAGTACTTCCCAGTACTATTTCCTACCACAAAGCTTGCGCACAGTACTTCCCAGCTCTACTTGGTACTACAAAGCTTGCACAAAGCACGTCCCAGTACTACTGGGTACTACAAAGCTTGCACAAAGTACATCCCAGTACTACCTCGTACTACGAAGCTTGAACAATGTATTTCCCAGTGCTACTTTGTTCGTACTACGAAGCTTTGACACACAGACGTTTACACAGCAAAGCTTTTGCACAGAAGCTTTCACACAGAGAAGCTTTTAGACTTTAGACACAAAAGCTTTTGCACACAGAAGCTTTTACACAGAAAAGCGTTTACACACAGAAGGTTTTACACAAGAAGCTGCTTTTCCACACAGAAGCTTTTCCACAGCAAAGCTTTTACACACCGAAGCTTGTGCACACAGAAGCTTTACACATAGAACAGCTTTTAGACAAAGCTTTGACACCCAGAAGCTTTTACACACAGAAGCTTTTACACACAGAACCTTTTGCATACGGAAGCTCTACACACAGAAAAGCTTTTACACAGAGAAGCTTTTAGCACACAGAAGCTTTTAGACTGAGAAGCTTTGTCACACAGAAGCTTTCACACAGAGAAGCTTTTAGGCACAAAAGCTTTTGCGCACAGAATCTTTTAGGCACAAAAACGTTACGCGCAGAAGCTTTTACACACAGAACCTTTTGCACACGGAAACTTTACACACAGAAAAGCTTTTACACAGAGAAGCTTTTGACACACAGAAGCTTTTAGACAGAGAAGCTTTTTCACACAGAAGCTTTCACACAGAGAAGCTTTTAGGCACAAAAGCTTTTGCACGCAGAAGCTTTTAGGCGCAAACACGTTTACACACAGAAGCTTTTACACATAGAAGATTTTGCACACAGGAGCTTTTACACAGAGAAAGCTTTTACACACAAAAGCTTGTACACACACACAAGCTGTCGCACTTTCGGAGAAGCTTTTACACAGAGATGCTTTTGGACAGAAATTGCGGCTCCAAAACCGGATCTCGGCGCCAAAGGAAAAGAAAAAAATTGAAGCACTTTTTAAGAGGAATTTTAAAAGGAAAATCACCAGCGCGAAAATTTGCTGACAAATTACTATCGCAACCTCGATGCAGCCACTCCAATACGATTTACGATGTCCAGCTGTAAAAGACAAAAGAATTACACACGCAGCTGCGGCAGCGAGCAACCCATCGACGCCTGGAGCCACTTTTGTGCGAGAAAACATAGCCTTTCGTGCGATTCCTAACATCCACGCAAACATCACCTTCCCCAAGCAGTTTCAGTGCGATCTGCAATCGCTGCCTTGCAAATCACAAAAGAACTGCGTTGACCAAGGCTGCAAACATCTTCATGAAGCAGCCATTACAACGCGATCTGAACACCTGAATCGTACTTTACAATGGGGGACGCGCCCGAGCGCAAGCCGCACCCGTCGCACAACCGAGGTTTCCCCCATCGACGCCGGGAGCCACTTTGTGCGAGAAAATATAATGCATTTAGTGCAATTCCTAACATCCAAACATCACCTTCCCCAGCAGTTCCACTGCGATCTGCAATCATTGCCTTGCAAATCACAAAAGAACTACGTCGACCAAGGCTGCAAACATCCTCATGAAGCAGCCATGGCAATGTGATCTGCATACTTTACATTGGAGGACGCGCCCGAGCGCGAGCCGCACCCGTCGCACAAACTAGGTTCGCCCCATTGACGCCGGGAGCCACTTTGTGCGAGAAAACATAGGTTTTCGTGCGATTCCTAAAGTCCAAACATCACCTTGCCGCAGCAGTTCCACTATGATCTGCAGTCACTGCCTTGCAAATCACAAAAGAACTGCGTCGACCAAGGCGGCACACATCCCATGAAGCAGCCATTACAATGCGATCTGAACACCCGAATCGTACTTTACACTGGAGGACGCGCCCGAGCGCGAGCCGCACCCGTCGCACAACCGAGGTTTCCCCCATCGACGCCGGGAGCGACGTTGTGCGAGAAAATAAAGGCTTTCGTGCGATACCTAACGGCCAAACATCACCAGAACTCAGCAATTCCACTGCGATCTGCCAAATCACATTACAACTGCAACATGCAAGCATGAATCACCCAGACATCACCCGGACTCTCCCACATCTCTACTGCGTCACACCCCTACTTTTCTCTCCATCTCTAATCTCTCCACATCCCTACTATCTCCATCTCTACTAAGTAGTAGTACTACCACTACCACTACCACTACCACTACCACTACCACACCACTACAATACTACCAATTACGACCACCACCATCACCACCACTGTTGACGGTGTTTCAAGGTTAAAAATGTGAGTTGGGTGTCTCCATGCCATTGTGTTTCGTAAGGAGGGTTGCAGATGGCCGTGGAATGGTTGTGCAGCAGTTAAGGACACAATATGGTGCATCTGCCATCGCGATTGGGGCGGCTGTTTGTTCCGCGGGTGCGGATGTGCTCCTTTCATGGTCGTGAGCAGTCCGCACTGTTGACGGGATAAATGTGTTTTGTGAGGTAGTGTCGCAGATCGCTGTGGAATGGTGGTGCAACAGTTGTTGGAGCTAGTTCGGCGAAGCGGTAGCGAGGCCACGAAAAACTGTAAATTTACATGGCAGCAGTACAGCATATGGTGCGTCTGGCGTCGCGTTTTGTGCGGCTGTTTGTTCCGTATGCTCGTTTCATGGTTGCGAGCAGCTCCTCGTGCGGCGGCTGCAAGTTTTTCGTTTGTGACCGCGAGCAGTCCGCACTGTTGACGGTGTTTCAAGGTTTGAGACATGAGGTGGATGTCTCCTTGCCCTTGTGTTTTGTGAGGTAGGGTTGCAGATGGCCGTGGACCGGTGGTGCAGCAGTTGTTGGAGCTAGGCCGGTGAAGTGGTAGCGAAGCTACAAAATAATGCATAGAATAGATTAATTACAGCATATGGCGCGTCCGGCGCCGTGATTGGGGTGGCTGTTTGTTCGGCGGTTGCGGATGTGGTCGCGAGCAGTCCGCACTGTTGCCGGCCCTTCAAGGTTTGACACGTGAAAGTAGTACTGGGAAGTACTGTATGCAAACTTTGCAGTGCACAGTGGTACTGGGAAGTACCTTGCGAACTTTGTTGTGCAAAGTACTGGGAAGTACTTTGTGCGAGCTTTACAAAGCAGTACTGGGAAGTACCCTGTGCAAGCTTTGTAGTACAAAGTAGAACTGGGAGGGTGCTTTGTGCAAGCTTTGTAGTACAAAGTAGTACTGGGAAGTATCCGGTGCAAGCTTTGTAGTAAAAAGTAGTGAGTAGTACTGGGAAGTATTTTGCGCAAACTTAAGGACAAAGTAGTACTGAGAGGTACTTTGTGCAAGCCTTGTAGCACAATGTAGTTCAATGCAGTTCTGTTCAATTCGACTCAATTGAGTTCAGTTGGTTTCAAAACAATCTAGGCCAACCAACTTGAGTCTAATTCAGTAAAATAGGTTTTAGTTCAATCAATTCATAGTCAATGTCAGTCAGCCGGTCAGTCAGTTAGTCAGTCATGCAGTCAGCCGGCCAGCCAGTCTGCCAGTCTTTCAGTCCTTCTGTCAACTTAGTTAAATTCAAATCAAGTCAGTTCTGTTCAGTTCAGCTCAGTGCATTCATTCGTTCAATCCAAGTCATTTCATTCCATTCCTCCATTCATGTCAGCACAGTTCAATTCAGTTCCTTTCATGTGATTCAGCCCTGTTCAACTCAACTCCATTCAGTTCACTCATTCATTCAGTCCGGTTCAGTTTGTTCCTTCACAACACATCATGTTGCGTCAGTCAAGCTGGACCTGACGACACTAAACCTTCTCTTCCTATAGGCTCCTTTTTTCGCTAGAGTCACCTTCTTCTTATGAACTTCGGCCCCCGCCTCGTGCAGGCACCACGGGTATAACAATATATCAAATAACTTAGTACTAACTAGAAGTGATTGAAGATGATTGAACCTTTTGGTTGCCGTTGATCTAGCCAACGGCCCGCC